TCATGGGTCGTTGCCAGCAGTGCCTCTTGGTCTTGCACCACTTGCAGAATGAGCCAATCTTCATGGACTAGCCACGGCGGACCACACGAGGACAATCCCGTACCAGGTGCCGGTGTGAAGGCGGCGGCAGCCTCCCCCAGTACGTCCAACCGACCGGAGGGGCCGACAGCGCTGGGCATGGGTGTGGCGGCATGGGCCAACCCGGGTAATGTATCACGGCGGCGCTTGACAGAAATTCCACTCTCAAACTGTTGCTGTGGCGGCGGCGGTCGCTTTTCAGCAAGACCTCGCAGAGCGTGCAGCTGGGACCGAGGCAGACTCCTGAGCTCATGCAACCGATCATTGGCAACCGCTTCGCGCGCCTTGGCCGCCTGTGCGCGGCGGTACTTGGCGATGGTTTTGGCTGCAGGCTGGAACCGTGCGAGGCCGTCGCTATACAACGGCAGGTAGAGCGAATCGAGCGCTAAATGTTGTCCATCGTCGCTGTCGTCATCCGGCTGGTAGGTCACCCAGGCGTGCTCGGGCTGGGGTGACGAAGACTCTGCGACGTTGTCAGCGTTGCCTTCGTCTGCGTCTGCGGTTTCTGCTTGTGCGGCTGGTCCGCCAGTCTCGTTGCCCAGGTTGTCCTGCTGTCCACCTCCCGGGTCAGTGATGTGGCGCTCCCGAAAAAAATGGTGGTGCGAACGAGCTTCGCTGCGGTCCTTGTCGAGAATGAGACCAGCACCCGCGGTGGTGGTGGTGGTGTTGGTGGTGCTGGTGGTGGTGGTTGCGGCCTGCTGGTTGGAGTCACGGCGTCGATGTTCGGAATCCAGTGTCGTCAGGCCGCTCAAAGCGTTGCCGCTGGTAAGGTTGTTGACACTGACATCAAGGCCGTGAATTGGAAAATTTCCAGCCTCTCTCCGAAGCTGGGCGTCGCTTGGGTTATTCCCGGCGACATCGTCGCCACGCCGGTAGAACACGAGGTCGTTGTTGCTGCTGTCCAGACTCGGGTGGATGGGCAGGCCAGCACTACCAGATTGCACACCGTTCGGCGCCTGGCCGGCACTCGAAAGAGCGTCGCGGCCATCAGAACTGTCGCTCACACCTCGGCGGTCGACAGACAAGAGTGCTTCTGTCGCTTGACGCATGGCCTCCAGGCTCGACAGCTCTTGCAGCTTTTCGTGTTGCAGCTCGGTGGGATGGGCGGGGTCGTGCTCGAGCGTCACAACCGTGAGCATATCGACGTCGCGCAAATCGGATGTGGTGACAATCGAGGATATGGGCGTCGTCCAAAACTCGTACATGTTTTCGAGGTAGCGGAGAGCAAATCGCATGACACCGGTCAGCTGCTGCTCAATGCTGGAAAGTTCAGCTGCTTGTTTGGCGCTTGCGGCATCCGCAGCGACACCGCCTGAAGGAGATTCTTGGGCAGAATCGCGCGTCTTTTCCACCTCCATCGAAACAGGCTGTGCTGTTGCACTCGACGAGTGCTCGTTGCCGGCATCGTCAGCAGCTCGGTGCTTGTTGTGGTGGTGGTGATGGTGCTGCCCAGCCTCGGCATCCACCAACGGAATCGCCTCGTTGAATTCAGACAGCTCGTCGGCTTGCTCGCGACGCAGCTGCAGGGAAGCAATGCGGTCAGACTCGTCCTCGACAGAAGCAAGCGTCTGGGCGATTTGCTTGTCAGTCAGCTCGGGACCCGAGCGTGCCGGCTTTCCGGTTGATTGTTGCTGGTGCAGCACAAACGTCGAACTCGAAATGCCCTGCTCGGAGCTGGATGCCAGAGAGGCATTCAGCCCCGCATGGTCGCTAAAGAGATCACGCAGGTCGCCTTGCTTCAAAAAGTCTGGCGTAAAGCCGCCATCGTTGATCACCATGCTGTCAAGCAGACGCTTTTGATTGGCGCGACGCAAAATATTCTCCTCAATCGTGCGCTCGCTGATGAGGCGGTAAATGTGCACGTCCCGCGTTTGACCAATACGATGTGCTCGATCCTGCGCTTGTGCATCCCACACAGGGTTCCAGTCGCTGTCGTAAAAAATGACAGTGTCGGCGCCGGTGAGATTGACGCCCACGCCACCGCTGCGAGTGCTCAGGATGAAGCAAAAGATGCGCTTGTCGCGGTTGAAGCGCTCCATGAGCACCTGACGCTGCTCAATTGTGGTCGTGCCGTCCAAGCGAAGATACACGTAACCGTGAAAGTTCAAGAACTGCTCGAGCACGTCAAGAACGCGCGTCATTTGGGTAAAGATGAGACACTTGTGGCCGCCAGCGCGCAAATCTCGCAGCAACGTATCCAGCACCTGCAGCTTGCCGCAGTCATACTGAATCAGACGCTTGTCTGGGAAGGCTGCGCTCATGGCATTCGCAACGGGATGGAATGGCACCGTCAGTGGTGCGACCGCCGAGCCCACAACGTTGGCGAGCTCGTCTTGAGCCACTTGCACGGAAGGCGGAATGTGCGGAGCATGCAACAAGGCGCTGCCACCCGCGACCGAGGCCGGAGGCACGTACATGACAAAACGTGACACCACGGGCATCATGTCATCGACGCGCTCATCGACCGAGCGCACCAAGCAGCGGAGCTTGCTGAACGATGCACGAACATCCGCTGATGCAGCAGAGGGCGCCGTGACGCGAGGAGAAGCGTCCATCAGCATGGTGGAAGGCTGAACGGACGGAAACTCGCACAGTGCCTGCTCAGCTGGGTTGATGGCGCCGTTCGGCGACAGCTGCACGGCAGAAATCAAGTCCGAGCCGTACAAGGGCCGACGCGCCAGCCGACGCCTGGAAGTTTGAAAAAGACGCTGGACGCGATTCAAGCGCTCGGCATCCCGCAAGGCCTGCAGCTCTGACGGCAGTTTGCTTCCAGAAGTTGGCACGTTCGACAGGGAGGAGAATCCGTTGCTCGACCCCACCGAATGCACTTGGAGAAACTCGTCCAGCGACCCGAAAGCCAGACGTTCAGCTTCGGCCTCAGCCCACTTGCTCGTGGAGCTGTCAAAGTCCACCAAGTTCAGGTTGAGAACGGAGGTTGCGAGCAGACCATCGCGGAACGTGTCATCCAACAGAGACGCCGCTGTTCTAATCGCAGGGCGAGCAGTTCGAGCGGCAGTGCCGTCGTTGTCGTCGTGGTCGTCGTTTACGACAGTGTGCTCGGAATCACAAGATTGCTCGGACGCCCACAACGCCCACAACGCCAGAGGCGACCGCGTTACACTCGTATTGCCGGCATGCGACAAGACGCAAGTCGACCGAGTTTGGCCCGCAGCAACGCCATGGGAAAGGCCAAGGACAGCGCAAGCGAGGTTGAAGCAACAGTGAGCCGCGGGGTTGCAAACGGCGTAATGATGGGCCGCGTTTCAAACAGGTCTGGATGACTGCATCAGGACGTTGATGATGGAAACAAAGTTGCCAGATTGTAACGTCTCCTTGGTGCCGACGTTCGACATGAAATCATCGTACAAGAAACGCTGACGCTTGGAAAGACGGCACGGAATAATGTGCTCATACTTTGAGGGCATCTGCTTTTCCACGTCCGCCTTGATGCGGCGAAGGATGAATGGACGCAGCACCTTGTGGAGCCTGTTGATGAGCTGCTGGTTCATCACCTCGTTGCCTTCAATCATGCTGCTGAGAGGATTGGCAAACCATTCGCGAAACTCCTTGTGCGACGCAAACACTTGAGGCATCAAAAAGTGCATCAGCGACCAGAGCTCCATGAGGTTGTTCTGGAGGGGCGTGCCAGTCAGCAAGAGCCGTCGCTCGGCCTTAAAGTTGAGCAGCGTTTGCCAGCGCTGGCTCTTTGGGTTTTTAATGTTTTGTGCTTCGTCCAGGACAAGATAGACCCACTCCTTGCGTCGAAATACGGCATGGTCAGTCACGACGAGCTTGTACGAGGTGATGCAAACGTGGAAAGCGTTCTGCTTGGACCAGCCGTTTCGCTTCTCCTTGCGCTCACGCGCCGAGCCATAGTATGTCAGAACCTTGAAGCCGGGACACCACTTTTTCAGCTCCATCTCCCAGTTGAGCATGACACTCGTCGGCACAACGATGAGGTGCGGTCCCCAGATGCCACGATCGCAGGCGAGATGCGCCATCATGGCAATGGTCTGAATGGTTTTGCCCAGACCCATTTCATCAGCCAGGATACCGTTGAGCTTCTTGTCGTACATGGTAGCCAGCCAGTCAAGTCCGATGTGCTGGTACTCGCGCAGCGGGTACTTGAGCAGGAATGGCACTCGCGTTTTGACGGACGTTGTCGACAGGCTAAAGCCGGTGGGTTGAATGCTCTGAGCTGCCGCAGCAGCTTCATTCAGGGCATGTTGGCTTGTATCATCGTCAATCTCAGTGTGGCGACGGGAAGAGTCGCCATTTCCTTGCAAAAACGACAGCAAGTCCTCATCTCGAGCTGTCGCCTTGGGATTATTGTCAGAGTCAGAGTCAGAGTCAGAGTCAGAGTCAGAGTCAGCGTCAGCGTCAGCGTCGCTTGATGCCGAGTCGTCGTCGCTCGTGACGTCCTCATCTGCATCAGCGTCCGAGTCTTCTTTGGCGCTCGAGTCCTGCTTGGCATGGGCGCTCTTGGGGTCAGTCGAAGTGACTTGCGATGCGTCACTGTTCGGAGAAGCATCGGCCTCGATGCGCCGAGATTTGGAGACGTGAGCGGCCTGGGATGGTGTGCGAGCAGCAGTTGACGCACTCGAGTCGTCGTCCGAGTCGTTTCGACGTCGCTTGCGAGGGCCAGCCGTCGTCGATGTGACCTCGGTGGTGGCGGTGGGGTCGTCCGTCGTTGTTGCAGGCATGTAACCATACCGTTGCAGAAGCAACTCGATGGGCAGATCTTGCTCGTCGTCAGCCATGAGCTCGGCGAGCTCATTCTCATCTTCGCCTTCCTCGCCAGCATCCTGCTGGAGTGTAGTTTCGTCATCTTCTTCTTCGTCGTCTTCGTTCATGACGACATCCGCGTCGTTTGCATCGTCGGGATCGTCCTCCCCGGCCTCCGCGACGACAGCGCCAGCTCCGGCTGGAGTGCCCGCAGCAGGTGGTGGTGCAGAAACGACGGGCACCACAGTCCCGCGGTTGGATCGCCGCAGCGACCGCCCGCGTTCATCTGTGGACGAGACAATGGTGACGGTCGGCGCGGTGGTCGAGAGGCCTTCGGCCAGCTGCTCGGAAAACTTGTCTGCCTGACCAACAAGGAGTTCGAGTTGCTTGTCCATTTCAATGCGTTGTGCTTGCTTGAGCTCGGCTTGTTGCTTGAACTGGGCCACCTTTTCCATGCGCTGCCAAAAGCGGCGCACCGCTTTCGCGAGTTCGGCGCAGACCTTTTTGCGTCGGCTGACCTCTTGGCGCTCGGCGCGCTGAAGCTGCTCCTTGGCGTCCTCGAAATGGCGCTGGACCATGCGAACCAACTTTTTGCTGCCGTTCAGCTTGACTTTGCGTTCGGTGGCGAAATCTTTGGCCATCCACGCCATTTCAGCCAGCATGTAGTCCCAGTGTGCACGAGGCCGCGCTGGCTCTTGCAATTTTGGCAGCCGGTTGACAAACCACAAATTCTCGCGACGCAGCGCCGCCACTCGCGCCATTGTATCCACCTCATGGCGAATGCGATCCTCGAGCACCTCTCGCGACGGCTGGTCTTCGTCTGCATGAATGGCAGCAAACGTTGCGGCAAAATCGCGTCGCTGGGGAGGGGCGGTCTGCTCCTGTCGGTGCCGCAAGAGTTGCTGGATGTTGGACGCGCCCGAGGAGAACAAACCAGACGTGGTGACGTTGGAAAAGCCGGGGCTGACGACACCGGAGGCGCTCGGCGTGATGGCAGCCGAAGTGGCCAGTTCTGGAACGACACTGGCAGCGTCTCCAAGCAGCGCCATGACCTCGCGCTTTCTTGAGCTTGTTCGTGCTGGTGTACGTGTTGGTGGTGTCGCTAGGGCGGCTGTTTCAGACAAGGCCGGAGAGTGCAAGTTCGAGGAGGTCGTGTCGGCAGACGCTGCTTCCGAGATGCTGGCCGCGGCGTCGGTCGCAAGATGGTGCGCAGCCGCCACATTCAAGCTCACAGAGTGGGATGGTGCCAACCCGGATCTTCGTGTGTGCAGTCCTCCTCCTAACGGAGATGCTGTTGATGCTGGTGCTGCTGCACTAGTGTGTGAGTTGGGGGTCAGCCGGGTTGGTGTCGACACTGCACCGCTGGATGTTGCCGAAGAAGCCGGAGCCGTATTCGTTGTCGTTGTCGTCGTCGTCGTCGTCGTCGTTGAAGTGCTTGTTGCTTCGCCCTCCAGTCGCTTGGCTGCCGCCAGGAGGTGGTCTTGCGCTTTGGCGTCTGCTGCCACGTCCCAGTTTGGGAAATCCAGCATCGAGTGGTGGTGCTCCAGATAAAACAGCTCTGCCTTCTTGCCGAGGCACATTTGCTTGGACAGCTCAAACAGCTGATGCTTTAGTGCGATCGCTTGTTGACGCAGTTGTGCGATGGGCGCAAGCGATGGTGCCGCGTCGCCGCCGGTCGCAACGTGTGTCGCGCTCGCCGGCAACGGAGCAGCAACGTCCGACACCTCGCCGACATCCATCGGAGCGACGTCCGACGGTGCTGGCTCAGACATGTGCAAAAGTGTGTGTGTGTGTGTCGTTTTGGAGCGGAGAGCTCGGTGTGAAAGTGGCTCTGAGCGTGTTTTTCGTCTGCGCGAATCCGTGTCTAGCGATCGATCTATCCTGTGAGCCAGAGTGTGGAGGAGTGTGTGTGCAAAGTGGAGCACAGTTCGAGAGTGGCCAGTCAGTGAGGGTAGGGAGCAGAAACAAGCAGAAAAAGAGTCAGACAAGAGTGAGCGCTTCAGTGACAACTGCCATGTGTGATGGTTGGGGATAAGCAGGGCGAGTTTGCGCTGCATCGGATGAGGATGGATGGAAGGCGAAGGCGAAGGCGAATGGAGAAGGCGCAAGTGAGTGGCCGTCCATTGGGCGTTGTGGGACTCTCTCTCTCTCTCTCTCTCTCTCTCTCTCTCTCGCCTGTTGTTTGTTGATGTCCAACCTGGTCAGGGTTCGATGCACTGACACGCTGTGTTGATGGACGCGTCGAGAGTGAGGCCGATCGGACGGCGGATGAGATCTGGTGATGGCAATCGAGGGCCAACAACAGCGTGCTCAATGCAAAGCCCATACAAATGAGAATACTAATGCAAAACCAATACAAAAAAAAAAAAAAAAAAAAAAAAGGCAGCGATCGCAATATGAATTCATCCAATTCGCTCGTGTTGCTGTTTGCTTGGACTGCGATGCGTTTCGGCGACGGGATGCTCGCGATGCGCGTGCGGGTGCGGGTGCGCGTGCGGGTGCGGGTGCGGGGTGGGGTGGGGCTGGCAAAAGGCGGTGCAGCCGGGACAATGCAGCAAATCAAAAAGCTGTGGCGAATGAGCTGCTCACTAACCCGCAATGGACAACTTAAAACTGCTTGGGCAGATTTGTTAGCAGCCAGTATAAAGTAAACTTTGCTTCAAAAAGCGAATGCTGCAACCAAAAAATGAAGAAAAAAATGAAAAAATAAAAAATAAAAAACAGCACTGAAAAAATCAATCAATTTGGATTTTGGCGGGAAAAAAAAAAAAAAGAAAAAAAAAAGAAAAAAGGAAGTCAAGGCAAAAATGGCATCGCAATTGTGACGAAGCAGCAGACAAGCAAAAGAGCAACGTAGGAACCGAACACCAGTCAAAAGGCGATGTGCGGCAGCGCGAGCAGAACACAGAAAAAAAACGAACGAAAAACGAAGAACAGGCACCTCGCTCAGCTCACGCAGCTCAGACGCATGTTGTGGCTGCGAGTCCCTCTTTGACAAAACCCAGCTCAAAGTCAACCACATCCAACAATTGAAAAAGCCCAGAATCATTGTTGTGTTTGCGCGCGCTCTTGCGAAAGAATCCAATCCAAGGCCTCCTTCACGCCGTGACAGACATGGGTTGCGGGGTGCTCGTCGTGGTTGCCTGGACCCGTGAAACAGCCTGTACGCACGAGGATGCTGTGCCAGCCCGCAGTGTTGGCGCCCTTGATATCGGACAATGGGTTGTCGCCAACGGCGTACACTCGCGCAATGCGAGCGTCGCCGGAGGAGGCGCCGGCGGGGGTTGCACCACCCTCGGAGGCGCTTCGCTGTGCAATATCGGCAGCTTGGGCTTCAAGCAGGCGTCGCGCATAGTCGTACACACTGGGGTACGGTTTGCCGTACAACGAGCTGACCAGCGTTCTGCCGGTCGACTCGAGGAAGACCATCTCGAGACAGCGACGAAACGCACCAAGGGTAATGCGTGGCGTCGCATGCAGGGCACCATAGTCAAAGTCTGGATTGCCCGAGTGCAACTCCACAAATTGCGGTTCGTTCGGGAGCAGATCGTTGTGGCGACCGGCAATCCGACCATCCCGCGACCGAAGCACATCGGTGCAAATCTGCAGAGCCGACTCCCAGTCCTCTGGTGACTGGTACAGCAGCACGCTGTGGAAGGGCTCTTCCAACTCCAGCGCCTTCTGCCGCGCAGCCAGCTCGTCGGTCGTCAGCGTCGCGCTCGTCGCACCAGGCGCCTTGCCCTTCACGGGAACCAAGAATGGGTACTTTTGCAGGAACTCCTGGACTGTCGCAATGTTGGTAAACCCGGACGAGCGAGCCAGCATGACTGCATTGTCGTGTGAGTGCGAAAGAACGAGCACGCGCGGCTGCTTCTTCTTCTTCTTGTCCTCGTCGTGCTCTGAACCAGCAGATGGAATGGACGATGTGGCTGTTGCAGCTGTCCCGTCGGGTCGCCTTGAAGCAGCCCAGATCGCTGGCAGTTCGCAGAGCGGCGAGCTGGCCAAGACCACCTGGTGCGGTGGCAACTCGAACGGGAGGTTGAGCGTCTTGCGCAGCTGCTCTGCCTTGCCCGCCTCGGTCGTGCCCGTGCCGTTTGTCAAGTAGACGTGTGGGACGGTGATCCGGTGCGGCGGCGCGGGCTCGTTCAGTGCAAGCAGCACGTCGCGTGCGCCAGGCAGCGGCACATACGCCCCAGCGCCCGCCTGGAACAGCACGCCGTCTGCAGAAACAACGAAATGGTGTTGGGGGTTAGGGTTGGTGGTTGCAGTGCGATATGGAGATTGATCGCGTCCATTGGCAATGGGTGAGTGAACTGGTAGAGCTCGAAACCACAGCAGAACCGCAGAAACTCACCAATGTCAAACGCAATGCCGAACGACATGAGCGGGATTGTACTGGAACAAAGGAGTGGACTGAACACTCAAACTAGCCTGAATCTACATGTATCAAGCCGTAAACAGCCATGGAGTGTGCTTTTGTTTGCGTTTGAAAACTGCAAGTCTCAAAACGGCGATGGTCACTCACGACACCCTTTTGATCTGTGTGATGACTCGGTGTCGAATCAAGTCGATCGAGTAGGCGCATTTTTTGGCTTCCATCCCCGCAATACTGCTTGAGGGGTGGCTCGATCCGCAAATTCTTACCGCTGATGAATGAACGCGGAAGTTTGTAATAAATTCATTCTTCTCCCTTCCTGGCTGTATGGCCGCATCACAACATGGAAACCTGCTTAATATGACACTATGTATGCACTTTTATCGGTTTATGAAGGAGGAGGGGCGAAAAGTCGAGTTTGCGATCGTCAAGTTTTCAATTATCAAAATGTTTAGTTGCTGGTTGTCATTTTTCACTGTTGCCGATTCCCGCCAAATCCACATCGTGCCATTCGCCAGCAACATCACTCTATGGTTGGAAAATATCACCATTAACCCAGTATTTTGGTCGAGAGGCGTTCTAGTAACTATTAGAAGGCGCGAGGTGGTTTCGAGTTTGTGCGAAAGCAAAGGTGCCAAGCCGAGCGGTCGTCGCACAGTAATCCACCATCCGAGGTATTCAGTGCACACAAAGTCATATTTATGAATTGAATTGAGATGTTTCATGGCGCACGGCACTCGCCTGCTCACTCTACATGCCATCAAAATGAACGATTTGTTTTTCTTCAAAATTTTGTTTTGTGGTTCGTCCACACTTCGTTGAGGGTCACGGTTTCGAGAAGCCGACGCACTACTACAATACAGTCGATGGTCAAGCCCGCATATACCTCGGGATGTCGCGCACGAGATGAGGATGGACGTCTACAGGTAAATTTGCAAAATGACAAACAGCAACAACCAACAACACACGCATCATACCTCAAACTCGGCAACTGGATCACAGAGCACGTCTGTACCGTGCTTTTCTAGTTCAATACTGTTCTTTCGAACCATCGCGTCATCTTGCGGATGTGATCACGTCGTATTTTGGTGCTGCAGGCATTTTCGTTGAAACCGATTTTCAGCATCGCGCTCTCAATCATCCGCTTTAGAGTTATCGTCAGAGTTTTCAGCGTCATCAAGCCTCGGCAACATCATTGGCTTCTTGCTGCGCGATCCTGACCACTCGGCATTGCGGCCTCTCCGCTGTCGCGCGAGGTTGTCGAGCTCGCGCCGTCGAAACGAAACGGCTGCACAAGTGCTGTTTGTGATCATTCCCGCCCTCCTCCGCCCAGCCCTCAGTCCACAGCCGCATCTCAGCCGTCCTCGATATACCAGTGTTTATCTTGATCTCGCCTTGCACGTCTTTTCCGATTGTCAAAGTGTTTGACGTTTCGTTTTTTTGGTTTTTGGTTTTTTGGTGTTTCAGTCTTTTTTGATTTTTTATTGCTTTTATTTTTTTCTTTTTATTTTTTATTATTTTTATTTTTGTAAGTTTTTTTTTTTTTTTTTTTAATTTTCTCATTCTGCGAACGAATCTCTTCTTCCCCTGCTTCGTCCGCCAGCTGCAGTCTCGCAGTCCTTCCCACCCGGCTTCCACAGTGTCCGAGCCTGAGCGATGCGCGGGTGGCGTGCTCGGTCGCCTTTCCCCTCCAACAATCTCCTCCTAAAGAATGATGATGGTTGAGATTGACCAAATTGAACGATTGTGTGCATTCATTCATTCATTCGGGGTCGTCAAATTGGTTGCAGGAGGCGATGCAACTGGGACAAGGGTTCGGGGGGTAAGGCACGCCGCAGATCCACCCAACACAGCGGCACAAAAGCAGGGCGTCGACAGCGCGCTAGGGGCGGCTTTGACGAGAGAGCGCACTGAAATAATACAAAAAAAAAAAAAAAGACCAACGTTTATTTTTTTTTTTTCTGTTTGCTTTGCATTACGAATGAGTGGACATTTTGGATTTGGGATTGGATTTTTTTTTTTTTTTTTTTTTGTTTTTGGTGGATGCCTGGCTCAAGTGCTCGAACTGTCAAGCAGCAACAGCAACGAAAGCCCCCAAACCCGAGCCCTCTCCTTTCGTCCTTCCCTGCCCTGGTTGCCCGTTTGGTTGGTCGGAGCGATGAGTGGATGTCCCCTTGTTCCGTCGCCTTGTTCCCTTCTCACCACACACACACACACACGCTCGCTCTCTCTCTCTCCACTGCAATGTCTACTCTCCTTCATCTCTCATTGCTTTTGCTCTCGTCATTCCCGCCCAATTGCGGGGCGCCCCCCCCCCCCACCCCCTCCCTTAGGCTGCGTGTGGGGCAAGAAGAGAGGCTGGGATTTCGAACGTTGTTTGCCAACCCGCCCCGACCCCGAAACCCGCTCCTCTCCCGCCCCACTCACCCCGCCCTCCTTTCCAATGCCCACTCCTTGTCTCACGTCCATTCGGCGCGTGTTGGGGGCCCCGCCGACGCTGCTCCTCCCAAAAACACAAAGTGACACACATTTGAGCGAGTCGTTTTTTTTTTTGGTTTTTATTTATTATTATTTATTATTTATTATTATTTATTATTATTGTATTTATTATCTTGATGTTCATTATGATGATTCCCCCCCCCCCTTTTGCTGTTCTTTGTTCGTTCGAGTTCCGGACGTTGACCGCTGTGTCGTTGATAATGTTGATACGACAATCCTCTCTTTGTGCAGGCTGAACTTCGACCACATCTTGGTTGTTCGCACAAAATCTTGTTTGGACTTTTTCGCTTCTTTTCTCAGTTTTTTTTGGTTGTTTTTTTTTCTGTTTTTCTGAGTTATTCTGGTGGGGACGCTTTTTGTGAGACGCCCTCGAATGATGCAAAACACGAGCAAAAAACAAACAACTGCAAGATGTCCATTTTCGTACTTGCTGGATCTCTCGCTCACTTTGATCATCCCGCTGCCATTGATATTGGTTCTGATGATACAGAGAGAAGAAACAAACAAAGGTCCTGGATCCACCTGGCGCCATTTCCTCCCCCCCCCTCCCGGTTGCAACCTTCCAGACAACGGGTGGCTGCTGGACAAGTCCTGGACAAGTCCCACACTCGAATCATTCTCCAACCCCTTTTGTTTGCGCGCTTGTCGACCCAAAACGCTCTCGCTTGCTCACGAACACGGCCAAAAGCAGAGTACATACGTGCTGGCAACCATGGCCAAGCCAGTGCGCAATTCGTCCAACGTGATTGAGACGGCAGTGATGGCCAAGGCGCTGCACCAAATGCAGTCAATACAAAAGCTCATTGACATTGAATCCAAGTCGCTCATCGAGCTGCGAGAACAGGCGCAATCGACCGACATTGTGCGGCACGAGATCAAGACACTCGAGGACAAGCTCGCCAACCGGTTTTCAAAGCAGGTGCATTTGCGGAGATACTACAACCACTACCTGCAAAATCGATCGCAGCCGGAAAATCAAGACGCCATAACGTTTGAATGGCAATTAGGCACCTATCCAGACCTAGCCCTGTGGTGTCGTGTGATTGGTTTGGATCCCGAACGGGCCAAAGTGCGAATTGTATGCGGCTCACTGCAGCCTGCCGCTCCAGTCGCATCCAGTCACTCTGGCCGCGGTGCAGAGCAAGTAGAACAGGTAATTATTTTTGACCGTCCCATCTCCTCTCTCTCTTTCTTTTTGAAGGGAAAGTGCCACCGTGGTTGTCTCTTTGCGTTTGTTCCGATCTCACTTTTTTTTTGTTTTGTTGTGGACTTTTCGGGTTGCTTGTGTGGCCTCTCAGCGAATCCAATCACAACACGTCGACCTCCTGTCGCTGGTCCGAAATGAGGAAGATGGAGTGCTAACACACACTTTGCTTACCGATTTAAGCCTCGATGCAACGCATGCCGAGCTTGCCTCTAATTCGCTGCGAAAAATTGTGAAGGCGTTGCGGACACCCCAAACGTCACGGTCGTTCTCACGAGGTAACGAGCACAGCTTGGGCAACGTGTTTGCTTCGCTCGATTCATCGAGCTCCACCGATCCAAGCTCCGATGCAGGGGAGCATGGCGATGGTGCGACCTCACCGCTGCCCATGTCGCCGCCAACGTCGCGCCGGAAAAATTCAACCACGGCAGACGTTTCCCCAACATTGACGTCGCCCTCCAACAATAGCTCTGTTGCCTCTTCGCGACGCCCCTCGCTCGCCAGCCAACAAGCAGTGACCGGGAGTAGTTCGGCCGGTGTGCCGACGCCCATCTCCCCGACCTCGACTTCGGCGCCTGGCTATAGTCCTGCTGCCAGCGTGGGTGTTCATCTTCCTGCCCATCTTGCGACTCAGCGCTCCGTGTCCATGGATGCAGGGGCGCCTGTGCGAGTGGGCCAGCCTGGCTCTCTCATTACCGGGCAAGCTGCTGTTGCGGACGTGACGTCGCCCACGCGACGAGGGCTTCCCAACCACCTGTCACCACCTCCATTTCTCACTGCTAGCTCCCTCCCTTCTAACGCAATGTCGGATGAGCTTTCTCCGGTGTCCAGCGAGTTGCCCTTGTCTCCGTCTGCTGTGACTAGCACCTCACCGACCGCATTGAATAGTTACGATGATGCCGCAAATGGCGCAAGTTATGCTGCTGCCTCGTCTTCTTCTTCTGCCGCCGCCGCTGCTGCTGCATCCTCTGCGTCAGCTGCCGACTCACTACTCAACAAGCGGATTTCACACTCGATCAAACATCGCTTTTCCATGCGCACATTCATGCTTCCGTCGCCTTGCGACTATTGCCACAAGCTGTTGCTTTTCGGCGTCATTTGCAAAGACTGCGAATTCAAAGCGCACCACAAGTGTTCCAAGTACGTGCCAGCATCGTGCGGGCTGACGACAGAAATGGAGGACTACTTCAAGTCTCTCATCACCGTGCCTGCGCGATCAAACACGCACGACGATTCCGATCCCTCTGGCCTGTCTAGTGCTGCGCACGACGACTTGTCGACTGGCTCGGGGAGCAGCCGTGCTCGCAAGCTCAAAAAGGCCCAGTCTGCCCCGCAGCTACAGGCCTTCTGGCGCGATGAATTCAACGCAGCCTATGCTGCAGCCATCGCTCAGAGCAATCAAAGCAGCGGGCCAGCCAGCGGCACTGGGCCCTCCTCGCACGAAGACGACGGCGGCGCTGTCAGAACTGCTTCCACATTGCTCGCTACCGCGCTTGCATCCGCTGCCCAAGCTGGACCCGCCCATTCACCTTCTGCGCAAACCATTCCTGCTCATCACTTGCCATTATCCAAGTTGTGGGTTCGCCGTCACGGCACGAATCCCGACTTCAATGCCAACGGCTTGCTGTCGCAGCTCCACGACTCCCAACAACAACAACAACAACAAGGTATTGTCATGCCAAGCCTGGCAGCCGTCAAGGCTGATCTCAAAGGTCAGCACCAGGGTCCGCTTTCGCCTGTCGGCGCCCATCATCCTCTCCGTCGTCTGAGTCACCACCGCCCACAATCGGCATCCGCTGCGACAAAGCCGTTCGTCTACGAGCCCCACGAGGTAACGTCCGATTCGTCGAGTTACGATATGGAGCGCAGCAGCGATTCCAGTCTTGGCGAACCCATCGGCGCTGATGGTGGCGGTGTTGGCGGCAGCGGCGGCGCTGGTGGTGGTGGTGGCGGTAGCAGCTCTGCAGATGGGGATAGCCCGGCACGCCTGGGACCACCCAAAAGCTCGGGCACAATGCGGCGCACCTTCTCGGCGACTCCACCGCTCGACCTGTTGGCGAGTGGTGCGGTGCAGATGAAGACGCGACCCCGAACTTCGTCGGAGCCCCGCGAAATGTGGGCCGTGGCCGAAGATGAGCAAGACGAGGATGGCGCAAACGACGACCTGGCCGACGATGATGACGATGACTTTATGCTCTCTGGGCGTCGTGTGACGCTCGATCGCGCCAAAGCTCGTCTTCTCGAAGATGCCGTTGCTGTTGCCGCGACGGCCGCGGCGACCGGCGACCCACCCACCTATGCGCGTCCCTCGCCGTTCAACAGCAAGACACGCAACTCGTTCGCCGAATGGGAAATTCCATTCTCTGAGATTGAGCTCGGCGAGAAGATTGGCTCGAATGTGGATGGTGCAGTGCACCGTGGAAAGTGGCACGGTCCTGTCGCGGTCAAGCTCATCAGCGTGGCCGGCTTGCCCACCAAAGGCCAAATCTTGGCCTTCCGACGCGAAGTGGCCGTCCTACGGCGCATTCGACATGAAAACATTGTGCTGTTTATGGGCGCGAGCACCGTTTTCCCCAATTTTGCGATTGTCACAAAGTTTTGCGAGGGCGAGTCGCTCTTCCGCCACATTCACTTGCTCGAGACGGACTTTTCTCCGATGCAGTCTTGCGAAATTGCTCGCCAAGTGGCCCAGGGGATGGAGTACCTGCATGCCAAGAAAATCATCCACCGCAATCTCAAGACCAAGAACGTGTTTCTGGAAAACAATGGCAAGATTGTCATTGGTGGCTTTGGGCTGGCCACGGCGTCGCAGTGGAACAATAGTCCTCATGTCAACAAACCGCGCGACAACGTGGCGATTGTGGTCGAGCGCAAGGGGTCTGTGCGGCACATGTCTCCCGAAGTCTTTTCCGCTCACGGCGACCCCTTCACAATTGCATCCGATGCTTATGCGTATGGTATCGTGCTGTTCGAGCTCATGACGGGCCATCAACCTTACGAGAGTCTGCGGCCCGAGCAGGTCATCTTCAAGGTGTCCAACGGCGCTCTGCCTGACGTGTCGTTGGTCCGCAAGGACTGCCCCAAGGAGGTGGTTGAGATCATGCTCGACTGCTTGTCACGCACCATGGACCGAAGACCTACCTTCAAGACCGTGCTTGACGTGCTCGAGCAGTTCCCTGTGGTGAAGCTTTCGCGCGCCACCCGCGACCGAATTCAGTCTGACGCTGCTGCACTTCAGCTCGCCCAAAACCAGAATGCTCTCCGACGTGTCAACACCACTCGTCGGTAACACTTGCACAGCAATTTTTTTGTGCTTGCGTGTCGCTGATTATCAGTCGCCGACAAGGCCACCCTGCCAACCCCCCCTTTTTTTTAACCTTTTTGAATTTTCAGCTTCATTCTTTTGTTGTTGCCGCCGACCGAGCTTGCGATTTCGTGCTTTTGTAATTCATCCCGATTTTTCTGACTACTCCATACATCTCATCATTTTTCTGTTGTTCATCCGCGAGTTCAACTTGCCTTTGTTCGAAACAAAATGCACCCTCCCGTTTTACGCTTCCCCTCCTCATCCGCAATTGAGCAATCAACAAAGGTTTTTACTCAAAAAAACAAGAACAAGCACAAACAACCAGAATGACAACGACCAAAAAGCTACAAAACTGCAATAACGCAAAAAATGGAGGGGGAGGGGGGGGGGAAGGGAAACCGACAAAAATCAAAACGAAACCGTATGAAATGGCACACAAAGAGTGCAAGAAAAGAGAATAGACGCCGTGGGCGTGTAAGTGCAAAAAGTCAAAACAGCAAAGTGCACGAATGCACGAATGCAGACATAAAGCGAAAAAAAAAAAACAAACAAAATACAAACAAAACTTGACAAACAAAACTCTACAAAACGCCAAAGCGCCCCGCCTACAACATCGAACTCAAACAGTAAATGAGGACGTCGTTTTCATCGAGCGTCAAGCTGGTTGGAAATTTGGTTGTAAAGCTCCTTGTACACCCAGAGCGAGCCCGACATGCGCTTGATGCTGATGCCATAGAGCGACAAGAGCCAGACCTTGCAAATCTCAATTTCGAAAACCACCTGCTCATTTTGAGCCGAGTGGTAGGTGCATAGCAGCACCCAGCTGTCCACCTTTTCAAAAGGTAGGAACAAGCTGGTGAGAATGCGCGTGACGTCGGAGAGCAATTCCGCTGGCGGCTTTTTGGCCGATGTCTTGGCAAGGGTGAAGATGCGCACAGATCGAATCTCGTCCTCGGGTCGCCGGCTGGAGTCCACGGAGGAAGAAGATGCATTGCTCGAGCCGCGTCGGCGCCCAACGTCAAACAGCGAGCGAGAGCGCTTCCCATCCGGCGTGCCCCCAACGACAGGTGTGCCGTCCGGGTTGAAGGCGGAGCTGCCGACGGCCGGGGACGACGAAATGCCTTGCAGCGTTGGGCGCCCTGCCATCTGAGGGGAGACAGAGTACGAGCGCGGCTTGCTGCGTTTGCCGCCTCGTCCCACAGTGGCACTCCCAAGTAGCAGGTTGCGCTTGGCTTCAGCCGAGCTGGTGAACGAGCCAGGAGGTGACACTGGCGGCATGTCGCTGGTGCTGTGCCCACGGATGGGCGTATTGGTCAGCGACATGGACTTTGGCGGAGAGGTAGAGAGATTAGCGTTGAAGGCTAAATCCATGCCAGCCAGTGTGGGTGATGTGGCAATCGCATCGTCCGCCGTGCCGTTGGCATTGGGGGACAAGGACGCCGCGGGAATGTTCACGGGGAGGGTCTCGGACGGGAGAGGGGTCAATTGATCGTGGTGCTCATCCGCATGAATGCCCTGAGGATCGTCATGATTCAACGGATCAACTGCAAACGTCGGGGAGGTGGGAGAGGTGTTGCCCACATCGCCGCCATTGGCACGCCCAGAAATGCCCGGAGACAACGGTGCTGAGGCGGAGGAGGAGGAGGAGGAGTTGCCCGACACCATGGGCAGGAAATGTCTCAACATGGACTGCCCAATCGACAACGACCGCGAAAACCGCTTGGACATGGGAGTGCTGCCACTGGAGAGGGTGCCAGTGGCCATTGGGGACAATGGCGGACCATTAGCAGACGCAGCCGCCGCAGACGCAGCCGCCGCAGCAGCAGCAGTCATGCTGCCCGAGGCAGTCGGCATGGGAGAGCCGAGCATGGCGGACGAGCCCATCGTGCCCATGGACACGTTGGACGCAGACTCGGCGCGACCAAGGCCCTTGCTGGGTTTTTCAGCCAGAGCGATCGTGCCGGGCAGGTCGTTAAAGCGGTAGATGGTCACGTTGCTGTCATACGCGATCGAGATGCACTGGTCCATTTGCTCCTCCTGCACCTCGGTGAGCACTTTTGGCGGCACTCGGACGGGCGGCTGCTCGTAACCCTTGTTGGTCCAAGGATGCTCGCGGATTTCGGACATGGTGATGCGCTTGTCGACATCGCGGACAAAGATTTTGCCAATCAAGTCCTTGAAGCTGTCCGACACATAGTCCGGAAAGACAAAGTCCACTTCCTTGATCTTCTTGTAGAGCTCTCGAATCGCCTTGGCCTGGAACGGAGGCTTTCCACAAACCATGGCGTACAAAACGACGCCCATCGACCAAATGTCCGCGGGCGGCCCCGGATACTTGATTCCAGAGACGAGTTCCGGCGACGCAAACAGCGGGGTTCCGCAGAACGTGTTGCACAGGTCGTCCTGGTACACACGGCCCAGTCCAAAGTCGGAGATTAAAATGTTCTTGTCTTCCGACAGCAGAATGTTTTCGAGCTTGAGGTCGCGGTGCACGACGCGTGAAAGGTGGCAGTGGTCTGAGCACGAAGAAGAAACGAGAAAAACGTGACGTGTGACATGTGAGTGGAAAAGGAGGTGTGTGAGTGAGTGACATGTGAGTGGAAAAGGAGGGGTGTGTGAGTGAGTGAGTGAGCGAGTCGAGTGGGCAGCAACCAAGACTCACCAATAGCAGACACCATTTGTCGGAAAAACTTGCGTGCCTCGCGCTCTTTTAGCCGAGCGGTTCGCGCAATGTGGTCGATGATTTCACCGCCACCGGCGTGTTGCCTAATGTCACAGACCAAAACCCAAAACCCAAACCAAAGACAGCAAAAGGCGAGTTGAGTGTCCCCCCGACTCGTGAATCGCCAGAACACAGCCGTGCCCTCTCGGTGTTCCGCACTACTCACATAATGATGTAAAACTCGTCGTCCGTCTCAACGACGTGGTAGAGACGAATAATGTTGGGGTGGTCGAGCAGCTGCAGCAAGCGAACGTCCTTGGAGAGGTGTGACAAGTACGAGCTGCCCGTGCCTGCGGACGTGGGTCCTGGGGAGCCCGGATCGGTGCCTGCGCGCGGTGCCGGAGTGCTTGCCGACGACGAGTTGGCGCCTTCCGCGTCCTTTCCTTGTCGCTTGCGGATGATTTTGATGGCGACCTGAATAGAGGAAGAAATAAGCAACAACAAAGCAAGTTGAGTGTTTGAGTGGGCAAAGTGCGAGAATGTCAATCCATACAACGTTAACGTTCAAGCGAATGGGTGTGTTTTGTGTTTTGTGTTTTGTGTTTTGTGTATTGTTTTTGCCCATTTTTCAGATTGAGCAATTTCTGCCATTTTCGTTGGCTCAGAAGATGAGTCACTCTGTGCATATGAGCGCTGTTGCCGTTGCTGCTGCTGCTGTTTCCAATCCCCCCCCACCTCGCACAGAACCCCCAATCAATCTACATTGCAACAACAGCAACAACGCTCAAAGCTCAACGCTCAAGGCTCAAAGCTCATCCACAAACCAGCGTCACCGATTCAATCCTTGTTCAATCTCAACCCCCTCTCTCTTCCGCGATTTACCCCCCTCCCCAACCCCCCCCCCGCTCCACTTTGACTCTATTGCTTCCTCATCCTCATCCCCCGTTCTTCATCTTCCGCTCCTAACCCCTCTCCCCTCTCCCCCTCCACACAGCCCTCGTTCGGCAATTAAGTCGTTATCTTGAATTTTTTTTTTTTTTTTTTTTTTTGTTTCGTGAATTTTGTTCTTGTTAAAAACGACCCATTCTGATACTGGTTGCTTAACTCGCTCTCTATCTTCTGGTAGTCGTATCGCCCATACTCTCCTAGACTCTTTTTTTTTCTTTTTTTTTCTTTTTCTTTTTCTTTTTCTTTTACCTTTTCATTGGTTTTGCGGTGCACGGCGAGCTTGACCTTGGAGAAGGCGCCCTCGCCAATGGTCTTGCCGATGCGGAACTCGTCTGCAATGCGCCTTGGAATGGGGAACGACGCGCTACTGTGCTGCTGCTGCTGCTGATGATGATGATGTTGTTGCTGCTGCTGATGTTGCTGCTGCTGCTGATGTTGTTGTTGTTGTTGTTGTGACGGCGGCTGCGAAGTAGGATACGATGCGGCGCCATTATTGGCGGCCTGCCCAGCCCCCGCTCCTGCTCCTGCTCCTGCTACGCCTGCTGCTGTGCTGCCGTAGTGGTGCTGGACTGCTGCTGCCGTTGTTGGCGTGGGCGTGGGCGGCGACACGGTGCGTGGCTTGGACGGATTCGGAGGAGGGTGCTCGCTGGCGGGCCTTGCTGCTGCGCCGTCATCCATTGCTGTCACTGTCGCTGTTGCTGCTGATGGTGATGCTGCCGCTGTGATGGGGCTGGCGTGTGCTTGTGACTGGGCTGCAGTCGAAGCAGCAGCAGCAGCAGCAGCAGCAGGAGGGGAAGGCGAGGAAGCTGAACTCGCCATTCGCAGCGGGCTCTCAAACGCCACCGACATCTTCTTCTCTTCTCTTCTTCGCTTCTTCTCTCTCTCGCTGCTGCGTTTCCAGATGCGAATGCGAGAAGGGAGAGCGTGTTTGAGTGAGTTTGAAGGGTGCAGAAACACAAGTGCTTTTGGGTGCAAAGCGTTGGAAAAAAAAAAAAAAAAAAAAAGGAGTCGCAGAGTGGAAGAAAAAGCGAAAGAGGCGGAAAAAAAAAAAAAAAAAAAAAATAAAATAAAAAGAGTGGATTTTCGCAGCGCAACGCAAACAACAAAAGAGCAAAAACAAGAGGAAAATCCTTTTGGTTGTGATGGATGCGCCACTCACATCATCATCGTCTCACCACAATGACAACGGCACACAATGGCACTCCATTGAAAAGAGAGACAGAGAGAGAGAGAGAGAGAGAGAGTGAGAATGCTCGCTCACCAAAAACAATCAACAAACGCACGCGAGTGAGTGCAAAAAAGCTGGGAAAAACAACAAAAACAGCACGTCTTCCAGTTTTTTTGTTTTTTTGTTTGATGGTTTTTTGGTTTTGGTTGATTCGCCTTCTTTCACTCTTCTTGGGCGTTGTCCTCTCGTCTTTGGCATTGGCTGCCTTCATGAACGTCGAATGCCGTGTTGCGATGTGGCGATGTGGCGACGGGCTGGGCAGCCAAAAGTCTACAAGAAATTCGACAGCAAACCAGAAGCTTGACAACTTGTCGTCCATTTCGGCGAAAGTGCCTCCAACTCAGAATGACGCTCACCCCCAAAAATACATCCAAACAGGTGTGTGCGAGTTGTTTGTCTCGGCTCGCTCTGCTGGTCGGTCGAATGGTGGAGATAGTCACCAGATGTATTTGACGCGAAAACGAGACAAGTTAAAAAAATCAAAATGGCAAAGAACACATAACAAAAAAAAGCTGAAAAAAAAGCTGAAAAAAGGAGAAACGACAAGATTTAAAACCAGCACCAGAATACACTGTAAAACCAGCACCTTCGGAAACACAAGACACTCACGCATGCAAGATAACAAAACGCGGGCGGGGGGGGGGGACAAATACGCTGATATTTTTGTTTTTTGTTGTTTGTTGTTTGTTTGCTTGTTTTACTCGTTGCCAACATCGCCAGCAAGATGGTAGTGAACCTTGCGCAGCTCGAGCAGACGGGTGCGCTCTTGAGAAAGCTGCTGCTCGAGCTCGAGCACCTTGACTTGCTGGTTCATTTCCTGGCGCTTGGCCTGGGTGAGCGTGAGCTTGGACAAGTCCTGGACCTGCTTGTTGCTGGCCTGATCGGCCATGAGCTGCGAGGCGTTCTTGGCAGCGCTGACGAGGTTGCGCGTGGCGCCAGTCACATCGCGCGAGGCACCCATGAGCTCCTCTTGGGACTTGCTGTTGGCGGCCGACTTGACGCGCGACGAGGCGACGAGCTGCGCAGTGGAGGCAGCGACCTCGCCGGCGGCAACCATGAGCTCCTCAAACTTGCCCATGTTGTTGACAACCTTGTCGGCGTTGTCGACGAGCAGCGTGGCGCCCCAGCCGACCGCTTTGGCGGCCGAGATGAGACCCTCGGTCCATCGGTGGTTTTTCTTGTAAAACTCGGTGGCGCTGGCCGAGCCGCGGCTGGCAGCAACAACCTCCTGCTGCACAACGGTGGACTTTTGGATGAGAATGCGAATCAAGTCCATGAGCTGCTGGGCCGAGGCAAGAATGCTCTCGTTCACGTCGAGCTGGATGCCAGACTGCGTCTTTTTCGACTTTTCGAGCATCTCTTGGATGCGACGAGCAGCATCGTTGATGGCCATAGCGGCCTCCGACATTTGCTTCTCGACGGCGTCGCCAAGCGAATCGCTGTCCTTGATCTCGCGGGGAATGAGGCCTTCCGTGATCTTGGCGAGCGAGTCGGCAGCCTCGCGGAACTTGGCAGCGCCAGCACCCACCTGCTCGGCGGTGAACTTCATCGAGTCATTCTCGTTGTTGCAGTGCAGCGTGTCAAAGTAGGCGAGCGCGGCCTGGCCGGTCGAGCGGCAGTGCGCGATAATGCCATCGGCGACCGTCTGGTCGGCAGCAAGACGCGTCGTGCCCTTCGAGTTGTTCAGCAGCTCGGCAAGCATGTTGGCAAAGACGGACGCGTTGCCAAGCACGTCGAACGGCACTTCGTTGGTCCCGGCTGACGCCACCGGCGCAAACGCAGCGAGGGCCTCCGAGAGCCGTTGGTTGACGCCCAGCGTGTTGTGAATGTTCTCGTCGACCGACTGCGCCGTGCTCGACGAGCTGCCGGGGTTTTGCGGGTTTTCCAGCTCTGCCAGCGCTTGGCGGATGATGCGCTTCGAGTCGGCGACGGCGTGGGCGAGGATGCGACGACGCTCCTGGGCGACACGCTGCTGAGCCGCTTCCGACTCTTGCGTCTTGGTCTGCAGATCGTGCATCAAGGACTCGAGGCGCGCATTGGCAGAGCGCAAGCTGCTGAGCTCTTGCGCGTGAGCACGGTCGGCGTTCTCCTTCTCCTCCTTGGCACGATTGGCAAAGGCCTCAAACTCGCTGACTTGGCCAACCTTCTTGAGGGCCTCAAGATGCTCCTGACGCAGCTTGCTGTACATCTGGAAGACCTTGTTGTACTTTGACTCGGCAGCCTCGACCTTCTCCTTGAGCTCGTTGGCGCCGGATGTCTGGGCCGTCTGCAGCAGCTCCTGCAGGTCGTTCAGACGCTGCTGCAGCGACGAGATGAGCATCTGGTCTTGCTGCGAGCGGGCAATCAGCGACTGCACCTGCGCCTCCAGCTCGGCAATGCGAGCGCGCAGTGCCTCGATAATCTTGTCGCGCTCGTCGACAAACTCGAATTGGTTGGGCATGGCGTCAAAGTCCTCGAATTTGCTGCGGTCAAAACGCAGGAGGCGGCGGGGGGGGGGGAAAGAGAGAGAGAGAAATGAAGGAGATGAGATGAGTTCCTGAAACTTGACAGGATGATCAACAACAACAACAACAACAACAACAACAACAAATTGAAACTTCAAGTCACTTACTTGACTGGAGCTGGGGCGGCAACCTTGGCCGGCGGGGGCGTGGGCGCGTTGGCGTACTTGGTGATAAAGTCCGGGGGCGAATCCAGCAATGGGATTTGGACAAGGTTGGTCAGGAAGCGAAGGTTGCGCGCCTCAAAGTAGAACTTTTTAATGCGCGGGAACTGCTCCATGAAGCGCTCGCGATGGGCAATCAGCTCGTCCTCGGGGGTTGAGCGATGGAGGGTGGTGAGAATGTCCTAGCCAAGACGGAAAAAAAAAAAAGAGTCAGCATCAAAAAACAAGGACAAAAAAACCAACAAAAGTGGCTGCTTCACAACCCATTTATCGAAAAAGGGGGCTTCTGCATTCAATGCCATACCACGACAATGTTGTACAGCGAAACAGACTCGGGGATGAGCGGCAGGAAGGCAGCTTCGCGGCACTCGTTCTTCTCGGACGCACGGTCGCCAGAGAGCGAGTTGAGGACGAGGCCAACAGTCGCGAGGATCTTGTCCTGCAGGATGAAGCAAGCCATCACAAGGCGGGTGGCCGAGCCGAGATCGCTCATGGCGCTCGACTTTTTGAAAGCTGCACAACAGCCAAGAAGAAGAAGAAAAGTGTCAGTCAGCAAAGGTCGCGTTTCTCTGGATCACACACGTCAGGTGGTGCATACCGTCGAAATCGAGGTTGCCGGGAATGTCGGTGTGTTGGTCGTGGAAATCGAGCTTGCTGATGAGGAAGCGAAGGTAGCCCGCAATCAGAGGCGAGAAGATGTGACCTTTGCTCTCCCACATCTGGCCGAGGGAAGCGAGCACGCCCTGGTTGCGCACGAGTTCACGCAGCACCTGTTGTTCATTGGTGATGAGGGTGACGAGGGTGACGAGGGTTCAGTGAGCAATGAAGAAGCAGTGTGAAGCAGCATCCCACCAGCACCACTGTCGTCATCGTCGTCGTCGTCGTCGTTGTCATTCGGGTTGGTGACTACACCAATGCTGGGGCGTTGCTCTTCTTACGTTGGGGTGGCCGTCCTGGAGGATCTTGTGGAGTGTGATGAGGGCCTTCCAGCACATGATGGGCTGGGTGCCGAGGGGCAGCTTGCGGAGGGCAGCCCAGAAGACATCGCTGCCGTTCTGGTTCCAGGTGGAGATGATGGCCGCTGTCGAGGGAGAAGCAGAGAGAGAGAGAGAGACGAGAGTGAGAATGAGCAATCGGTGAGCAATCATACGAAGGGTTCACTGTTTGGGAACGCAATGGTAGGATTTAGTAGCCGAGATGTGGCATTTCAGTAACGTAGGAATCTGGTTAAAATTCCAAAACCCCTTCAAAAACCGGTTTTTTTTCTTTCTTTTTTATTTTTTCACCCCTTTTTCCCTCTTCCTTGCTGCTGCTGCGTTGTTTTCACAGTCGTTCTCATTACCACGCGCGCTTATTTTTGTACCATTCATACGTCCGTTCCCCCACCTTTTTGCCTTCCCTTCCTTCCAATCTTCAAACGAACTTTGCTCTTTTTTTTTTTTTTTTTTTTTTTTTTTTGAAATTCCATACTGACGCTCTTCACTTATTTTTCGTTCTTCGTCATTTCATTTCATTTCATTTCATTTCATCCATCAAAGCGAGACCCGCGTTCGTCTTGAATGAAAAGGCAAAGCGACTTGAAATCAAAAGCAACAAAATCGCACAACAGTCGGACGCTTGGCTTCATCGTGACGAAAAGAAGAAAGAAGAAAGAAGGGGAGAAACAAAGAAAAAAAAAAAAAAAGCCGTTTCCTCGCTCTCTTTGTTCAGTCAGTCAGTCAGTCAGTCAGTCAGTCACAGTTGCGTTTGCATTGCCACACGCACTTGACTCGATGGCACTGGCACTCCATGACGAGACTACTACTACTACTACTACACTGGGACTACTACTACAAACTGCGACGTGCGATCTGACGCTGCTCCCCAGCGATGGAACTTACTGCGAATGTGCTTGACTTTGGGCGCAGTTTCAGAGGGCGAGCAGGCCTTCGTCAGGTGCTCCTCGCTCTCCTTGATCACCTTATCGCGTTCAGCAGACATTTGCGTGCTTGTGTGCTTTTACAAGAAGAAGACGAAGAGAAAAGAAACCAAAGTGGATCAAAAAGCTGAAAAAAAAAAACAAACTAAGACTGACCATCTAATCTGTCTGTACTGCATCTCATCGCCGATTTGGAGATGAAGATGCAGAGATCAATTCAGGCAAAAGTTAAAAAGTGACGCACTCGCTGGCAAGCTGGAAGCGATGGATCGTGTAAGGGGTTGGAAGGGTTCGTTGGGGGGAGGGGAAATAGGAATCCACTGCACTACTGCGCGTGTGTGCCCCCATGAGGTCAAGCAATCACAAAACTCCAACAGTACGAACAAAAACAGCAGCTTCATTGACAAATAGAAATGGTAGGGTTGAATCACAAAGGGGTACGTGCTCGATAGAGCGCACCAAAATCATGACTGTCCGAGTTCGTTCCCTTGCGACACTGCCTCTTTTCTGCTCACGATTCCATCTCCCGAAGAGCAAGAGGCTCAGCCGCGTCGAGAGGAAATGATAGCACAACGCGAGGAAGAGCAAGCAAGCGCATTTGGTCGCTCAGATCCGAGGATTGTGGGACGCGTCACCTTTTCCCTTCTTTGGCTCGTTCTTCTGTCGTCCCTTTCCCCCCCCCCTTTTTTTCACCTTTCCCCCTCCTGTATGATGCATGTTAAGTGTGCTGCGTGCTCTATTCCATTTCGATTCCCCCCCCCCCCCCCGTTCTCCACCTCCTAGCGCGATTTGCCCAACTGCGGCTTTCGGTTCGTGCGTTTGCCGTTCGGGCTACTTCGATTATGGTTATCACTTTGTCTTTCACACAAAACTACTTGGGTTCAATTCCCTTCTCAGCCCACGGCGCTATCAGGAACTATTAAAAAACCTTTCTCTCTTTTTTTTTTTTTTTGGTTGAAATTTCCCATCTCCCTTTGTGTGATCAAGGCTCAATGCGATTTCAATTGCCGCTCTCCCTGCCTCTCTCTCTCTCCCCCTCTCTCTCTTTTCAATCTCAACTCGTCCTACCTTCGCATCAGAACTTTACTCTTGTTTTTTTCTATTTCTTCATACAGTACAGTACAGTACAGTCCAGTACAGTACAGTACAAAAAAATGCTCGGTCGGCTTGCGTTGCTGCGACTCGGCTCAGCGGCTCAGACAGCTGCACGCATCGGCGTTCCTCGACCACCACTTGTTCTACTTCCATCCTCATCCTCATCCTCACCATCCTCATCATCATCCTCGTCATCCTTCTCTCAAGTGCTGATGCCGCGCGCAGGTCGATCCATGGCGACCTCAACAGCCACCAGCCAGGGGTCTGGCAGCAAGTCCAAGCAGCGCCACTGGCCAGCGTGGCTCGCGCCGTCCGCGATCGTGTGCGCGGGCGTCGTGTACGTCCAGCACGAGCGCGCGCTGTTTGAGAACGAGCAAGCACGCCTGGTCGCAACCGAGGGCCCCGACGCAGTGCTCGCGTCAACCGAGGCGCAGCGCAGGCAGTCCGTCCAGGTCACCCTGCTCAGGACGCTGCCGACCCGCGCACTCTCACGCGTCTGGGGCGCATTCCACGAGCTCGAGCTCCCCGTCTGGATCAGGGCGCCAGTCTACAAGACGTACGCCGCCATGTTTGGCTGCAACCTCGACGAAATGGCTCAGAAGGATCTCAGCGCCTACCCGAATCTGAGCGCCTTCTTTATGCGCCATCTCGTCGAGAATGCGCGTCCCATTGCGTCGTCGCTCATGGTCAGAGCACACCACCCCCCATTTTGTGGGAGAACCTTTTTCTGCATTGGCACTGACTGGGTTTTTGATTTTGTCCCGTCGTCAACACATAGGTCTCGCCGGCTGATGGCAAGGTGCTCCACTTTGGCGTCGTGGACGATGATGTGATTGAACAGGTCAAGGGCGTGCCGTACTCGCTGCAGCACTTTTTGGGCGAAACACCAAAGACAGAGCGGGCAGATCGCACCGGCCACTCCAAGCCTGGCGACGCCAAGAAGCTCTTCCACATCATCATTTACCTGGCTCCTGGTGACTACCACCGCTTCCATTCCCCTGCCCAGTGGACTGCCACCAAGCGCAAGCACTTCCCTGGTTCGGTTTTCTTTTCCTTGTTTTTTTTTTTGTTTGTTTGTTCGCTCTGTGACAACTACTGGCACACTCAAGCTCCTAATTCTGAATTTTTGACTGATTGTCTTTGGCTTTTGCTTTGATTTGCAACAGGCGAACTCCTGTCTGTCGCTCCTGCCGTCGCCGAAATCATTGCTGGCCTGTTTGCCTTCAACGAACGTGTTGTACTGCTCGGCAAGTGGGCACATGGATTTTTCTCATTCTCAGCAGTCGGTGCCTACAATGTGGGCTCGATTTTGATCAACATGGACAAGGTATTTTGATTATTATTTTACTTTGTTGTATTGCAACAGGGTTTTCACAACCTCAGCTCACCCTTTCTTGAACTTTTTTTTGTCTCAGGACTTGATGACCAATCGCGGCACCAAGTACTCGCGTCATACTGTGTTTGATAAGGAATTGGGCGCGATTGCCGTGGGCAAAGGCGAGGAGATTGGCACGTTCAATCTTGGCTCGACCCTGATTTTGATTTTCGAAGCACCTGCTGATTTCCAGTTCAGCGTGTCCAACGGCCAAAAGCTGCAGGTTGGCCAGCCCTTGGGAGATGTCGTGTCCAAGGAGGCCAAGCCATCGTCCTCGGGCCGTTTCTGGTGATGGATTGTTTTTGGTTGGACGGATTTTGGGATTTTGCGATTGTTTGTTGTACAACATTTTCCGCGAGCGCCTCTCCTCCATCTCTGCCTGCACTGTCAATGCGTGTCCATGTTCCATGACTGTATTGCAGTCTGAGTCTTCTTCCAGTGAGCGTTTTCTTGCATTGACAGACAGCAACCTCTTTCCACCGATTTGACTGGGGTTTTGTTTTGAATGCTTTCTTCCAATGCACAATCCCAACTCAACCCCTACGACTCGTAGATCTACTTTACTTGACATTTTCCCCGTTCATTCTTCCTTCATTCATAGCTCTGCTTTGTCAGTCAATGCAATGACGATGAGTGCTTCAGCGCCAATCTCGCTCAGTCACCACACTGCGCGCACTGCTGCCGCCGCCGCCGCCGCGTCGTCGTCGTCGTTTGGTGCTATTAACAGCAGCAGCAGCCACAGCATTCTGGATGTGCCTGGACGCCTTGAGCGGCTGCTGACAGAGACGCAGGTTGCCGCTGCGGACGGGACGACCGACAAGGGCCTTGCGACCGTGTCACTGCGCTCGCTCTTCACGCTGCTCCAGCACGGTCCGTTCAAAATGATGATATTCCTGAATGAATGACGATGTATTTGAAGATGAGCGGATCATCATGCAATTTTTGTTAGGAAGAGTATGAAAAAAACGAGAAAAAACGACAAAAACTCACTGTTTCTAACGTTGGATCTTTTGTTTTTTGAATCTTTTGGTATGAAATAACGCTCGAATCAACGACGACGACGACGATACGGAAAATGGCTGGATAATCTTCGACCCTGATCAATGCAAAAAAACAAAAAAAAAAAAAAAAAACATGCTAAACACTGCGGGACATTGCACGACCCATTTGGCCGACAAATCGCATGGAATTGCGAACAAAACCGAAAAAACGCTACCATTCCGAAACCGCTGCTGCACACGACTTTATATCTGCCGGACTACGTGCGGCGTCCTTCGATGTGGCTGCATTTGGACAAAATGCTACCATTGCAAAAACAAAAAAAATGCTGGCAAACTCATTGGGCCTTGGCCTGGTTGCGTAAACCGCTACCCGACCAACGTTTGTCAAATTCTACCCCCGTAACCGCATCTATGACTGGCTGGACAAACGCTACTACTACTGTACAAACCGCTAACGACATCTGGAATCACCTTCACATGCTGGACAACGCTCCCCCCCCCCTTCTTGCTGACATGCAGCCGAAGCAACGAAAACGCTCCCGCCGCCGCGCGCATTCAGCTTCCTGTCAATGGCAATCGAGGGTCGCACGACGAATGCCCACCACGCCCAGTTGAGTCATCATCCTGACTTGACATTTTTTAATAGGAGGGTGTTGATTGAATTGCGAAAGAATTTCTCACTGTCAATGGTTTTCTTGTTGTTTTTTTGTTTATGTTTTTTGTTTGGACTCGTCAATCTTTTCCAGACTCAAATGCTCATTCGACGTGCTCATTTTAAGCAACGGATGGTCGATCGTGCCGCTGCTCAGCGACAAGGTCGCGCTCGTGTCTGCCATTGTGCAGCGCCGAAACCTGGACGGATCGCTTCCGCCGGCCGCTCAGGAGCAGGCAACAACAACCACCACCACCACAACAACAACAACAACAACAGCGTCAACACCTTCCGTCATGCTCGTGAATGCACAGCACTCGCTCGTCACGTGTCGGGAAGGCCGTTACTCGGTGCAGCTCGAGGTGCTCGCGCCTTACACGACGGCGCGCGAATCGGGCATCAAAATCGACGTGCTCAACGGCTGCTCTGCGAACGAGCTCTTCTTCACCGTGGATGACCCTGACGTCGACATTTCCGTCGAGCCATGTCTGCGCCAGGAGGTGCTGCGCGCCACTCCGGCGACGACGGCCATCCGATGCCAGTTGCCTCCAACAACAAGCGTCTCGGTGCAGTGGACGCGCAAGATTGTTGACGCGGTTGTGAGTGCGGCCACCAAGGAACAGTTGCCACTCTCTGCCGTCGTCGAACAACAGCACCTCCTTTCCGTCGGCGAAAGCCTTTACGTGGTGCTGTCGCAGTTTGACTATACCATTCACAACGGGTCCATCTCGGTGATTGAGCTCAGCATGGACGCCAATCTGCGCATCTTGAACGTCGAGACCTCCACCGGCGCGCTCAAGCGCTGGGACGTCACCACCGTGCAACCGACCGACCCCCATTTCGCCGAAGTCAATCCTCCGTTTGAGGACGAGCCCGAAACCAAGGGCAAGCGACCTGCGCGAGCCCGCCAAGTGCTCAAGGTGGTGCTCGAGTACGGCGTGGAAAATTCCTTTGAGCTGCGCGTGTCGTCCGAATGCGTGCTGCCGTCCACCACCTGCTCGTTTGGCCTTCCCATTTTCCGGCACATCCGTGGCCCCGTCACGCGCGAGAAGGGCTACATGGCAGTTGAGTCCATGACCAACATTGAGGTCGAGCAAACCGCGCAACAGAGCGCTTCCGTCATTGACATTTCCGAGCTCCCCACCGAGCTCCGCAAGCGTCACACAAACCCTTTGCTTCTCGCGTACAAGTATCTGGTCCCTTCCTACACGGTGGAGCTGAGCATCAAGAAGCACCAGGATGTTGATGTTCTCGTCGCAACCATCGACCAGGCGCAGTTCGTGGCCACCGTCACCGAAGAAGGCAAAATCATGCACAAGCTCACCTTCCGCGTCCGCAACACGCAGCAACAGTACCTGCGCATTGCACTGGCACCCAGCTGCGAGATCTGGTCGACGGTCGTGTCGGGCCAGCCCGTCAAGCCCGCCCGCGACAACCTGACTGACGATGTCATGATCCCGCTGGAAAAGGTGTCGGCCTCTTCCAAAGGTGGTGCTCGCGGAAGCAATCACTCGACCTTCTTTGTTGAAATTGTCTATGTCAAGCGGCCCGGTGGTCTACCCTCCGCCACGTCCGAGCCAGCTGCACGCGCAGCCGCTGCTCGGCAAACCCTCACTGGACCCAGTCCCGCGGCTGCTGCCAGTCGCGACGTGCTGCTTGGATCTCGCGAGGATGTTCGGCCTGTCGCATCCGAGTTTGCAATGGGCCGCACTGGCGAGCTGTCTGTCGTCTTCCCTCGCGTGGACATTCCCATCAACCATTTGTTTGTGACCCTGTACTTGCCCACTGATTTCATCTACGCCGAGTTTGAGGTGAGTGTGCGGGAGGGCGTTTCCCTTGGTTGTGTGTGTGTGTGTGTGTGTGTGTGTGTGTGTGTGTGTGTGTGTGTGTGTTTCGTTTCCAGCTCATTTGTGTGGTTTTGCGTGCGTAGGGCGATATGAAAGAAACCCAATGGTTCTCCGTCTCACCTTCAGAGCCTGGACAAGACGATCTGAATGTGATGGCTGGCCTCCTGGCGCCAAGTGGCCGCGCCGGTGCTCCTTCTCGTAGCATGGCTCGTCCCTCTGCTTCGTTGGCCATGTCCAACGCCATCATGCCCTCCCAAATGTCGACCCGTGAAGTGGTTCAGGAGGAACCTCGCTCAGCGCGTCATGCCAAGCTGGGTGTTGTGCCAGTGAAGGTGGAGATGGTGACGGAAGGCGCGCAGTACCGTTTTGAACGCCTGTTGGTTGTTCAGCAACCCATTCGGATTAGCGTGCCCTACAAGCGAGTGGAGCGACGCGACTGGAAGCCCCGACGCGTTGATTCCGCGTGCATCGCAAGTTGGTGTTCAGTGTTGTGTGAGACGGTTGTTGTTGTTTTTGCTGTTGTTGTTGTTGTTGTTGTTGTTGTTGTTGTTGTTGTTGTTGTTGTTGTTGTGTTTTGTGAGTTTGTCAGAGTTTGTCCGAGTTTTATCAGAGTTTGTCTGATTTTGTTCTTGTTTTGCTTTTTTTTTTTTTTTTTGTAGACACTTTGTTGCCTCAAACCTTGATTCTACTTTGTATTCTTCCTTTTATTTGTTGCCTCAAATCTTGTTCCGACCTTCTCAGATTCACTCGTTTTATTATTCCTTTCGACTGTCAACCATGATGATTGGCGGCGCACCAAAGCGCGGGCGGCCGAGCCACGCGTCGCTCGTTGCGCAGGCAGCAATCCAGGCCAGCAACGCAGCCCACCAGCAGCAGCAGAACTCTGCTCGACTCAGTACCCTCATCCACGAGCAGGCCGAGCGGGCGCGCGCCAACATGCACGAGTACCAGCAGCAGCAGCTGGCCTCCCGCTCGCACGCCGCCTCGCTGTTCGGCTCGTTGCACGGGCCTGCCAGCAGCAGCAGCAGCAGCAACATCAACAACAGCACGAGCAGCGGCTTGCAAGCGGACGGCTCGCTCTCGGCGGTCGCTCCCGACGGAACGCGGCTCGTCCGAACCTGGTAAAAGATGATTTGAAGATTTGTTTTTGGCGCCAAAATCCAGCGCCAACAGCCTACATCCAACATAGACGATCTGTTCCGAGGCTTTTTCGGCTCTTGGTCTGACTTTGCTTTGTGATCTTGTTTATAGGGTGAAAAAGTGGGTCGATGTTGCGCACTTCCGGACGTACAAATGGGTGCCGGGTAAAGAACAACCAAGAAACATGTTGACTTGCCGAGATATGTTTTGATCATACATACATGGACGGGTGTTTGACTTGACTCTGGTGTGTGTGGTTGGCTTGTTTGAATTCTGGGCTTGATTTGTGGGCTTGCTTTTCTCTGTGGCAGAACTGCACCCTGATCGGCGTGATCGAAAACGCGCAATTCCGGCCGTTGCCCGACCGGTCACCAAGATGGCGCGCCAGGAAGAGCCAAACGACGCTGACGATAACCAAGAGACGGATTCGGGCGCGCCGATTCTTGACGAGGCACAAGCGATCGCGAGTCAGGCCTCCGAGGCGCGGCAGACCCAGCAGTCGATTGCTACTTCCATCGCTCAAGAGGCTGCGGGCATCATCCACGCGCGCGGACTGAAGCGAGAACTCAACGATGAAGATTCAAGCGACGCGGAATCTGATCCGAAAGATGAGTCTGCCGTCTAACGCCCTGCCCGCTATTCGTAGCTGTGCAGTTGGCTTTCGATTTCGCTTGTTTTATTATTTTGTTTTCGATTTTTTTTTTTCCGTTTGGGTGGTTTGATTTGTTTGATTTGTTCATGGGATCTCGTTGATGTCAATCTGAAACTGATGTTGCACTGGACGTTATGTATGTTGTTGAACTGTATTTCATTCAAAGAGCCGAAGTCGTTGCTGCTTTTCACACAACAATCCACTGCATGTCTATTTCTTCTGCCACGCTTGCTCACCGACTAATGAGCACGAATGTCGAGAAGGGATGAGGAACAAAGACGAGGCGCAAACCAACCCAGTTTCTGAGAGCTTAGCTAGTCTCCCTTTTTTTTTTTTTTTTTTTTTTGAAATTTCAAAAGATCTTTGAATGTTGTCCTATGATGATATGACCGAGCGACAGCGCGAGGTGTACGACTACGTCAAGAATGAGGTCGTCCTAATGTAATAGTAGGCTGCATTTATTGAAACAGTGTGATAGCGCGGTGTGGACTGACGAAATTGGAGAGATAGGCTTAGCGGCGCTCGCATGAACGAGGCAGAAGCACAGGCCGTTGTTGAAGGGCTCAAAGTGAACACGAAGCTGATCTTCCTCTCGTAAAGGATCTGACTGTGACTGAAGCTTGCGAGTGGGTAAACCAGCAGCGTGTTAGAGAGTGGCTCACTGATGGATGGGATGTGGGCACAGGCTGAGTGCGAATCCTATTGCAGCGGTGACGATAGCTGACTTGCTCAGAGTGAACAAGACGATCCAGAACCTCTTGTAAGGCATTTCACTCTTATTGTTGCATGAGAATGAGTGAGAGCAAGAGGGTATTCAGAGTGGCACACTGATGGAGGAGATGGACAGTCTGCAAGAGAATCAGATTGGCGATGCTGATGCTGTGGCAATCGCTGATGCACTCAAAGTGAACACAACGCTGAATGATCTCGAGTGAGTCAGCTCTCTTTGACGGATGCATGCGAATGAGTGATTTCAGGCGAGGGTATTCAGAGAAGTGCTCACTGATGGAAGGAATGAACAGTCTGAAAGTGAATCAGATTGGCGATGCTGGTGCGGTGGCCATCGCTGATGCACTCAAGCTGAATATGACGCTGAAAAAGCTCAGGTAAGTCATCTCGCTTTGAGTGATGCATGTGAGTGGGTGATTCAAACGAGTGCTCACTGATGGAGGGGATAGACTTGATGAGAATCAGATTGGCGATGCTGGTGCGGTGGCCATCGCTGATGCACTCAAGCTCAACACGACGCTGGCAAGGCTCCTGTAAGTCCTCTCACTTTGACTGATACATGCGAGTGGGTAAACCAGCAGAATGTTGAAGAGTGCTCACTGAGGGAAGGGACGGACAGTTTGGTTGAGAATCAGATTGGCAAAGCAGGAGCGCAGGCGATTGCTGAAGCACTCACAGTGAACACGACGGTGACTGAGCTACGGTAAGGCATCTCACTGTTACTGAAGCATGAACGAGTGGGTGATTTCAGCAGCACAGGGCATTCAAGTGCTCACTGATGGAGGGGATAGACTTGATAAGAATCAGATTGGCGATGCTGGAGCGCAGGCGATTGCTGAAGCACTCAAAGTGAACACGACGCTGACTGAGCTACGGTAAGGCATCTCACTTTTATTGATGCATGTGGGTGGGTAAACCAGCAGAACATTAAAAAGTGCTCACTGATGGATGGATGGGATGGACAGTCTGCACCAGACTCAGATTGGCGATGTTGGAGCGCAGGCAATCGCTGAAGCACTCAAAGTGAACACAACGCTGATCGACCTCCAGTAAGGCATCTCACTTTGACGGATGCATGTGAGTGAGTGATCCAACGAAGGGCATTGAGCACTCACAGGTGGGAGAGGATTGTCAGGTTGTCTGGCAATCAAATTGGTGACATTGGAGCGCAGGCAATCGCTGAAGCACTCAAAGGGAACCCGACGGGGATCACAGTCGAGTAAGTTGCCGTGTGCTTTGCTCGTCTTGGCCGTATCTTTGGTTCGAAGTCTTCCAACTCACCATTTGGGCGACAGTCTAAACTCTAATTGCATTGATCGTGCCTTTGTTCAATTGGTTAAACAGGCACAGAAAACCAAAAACCGTGGGCTTTACCTTTCGTATGTTGGTAATTTCGAGATCATGGAGCTACCGTACTAACTGCTTTTTGTGATCGCTTGTTCCTTGCACAGCAACGACACTCAGTTCAACCCACTTGTATTCTCTTTACTTCCACGATTGGCGAGTACTGAAGACATCCAAGCAGTTCTCGGCATGCTGACCAGCGGGTTGGAGCTGGAGAATCAATCCCAATCTCTACCAGCTCTACCAACCGAGATTGCCGAGCTCATTATGGACGAAGCGTATTACTGGCAAGGCGTTCAACACGCCAAACGAATGCATGGTGACCAGCACTATACTTTGACAGTCACCGTGCCTCGGAGCGTCATCGGAAATTCGATCCGCGTGAAAACAATTCAAGTGCTTCGTGAGTGGAAGTTGTGTCCCGACACCATCAGTGACTGTGTTTTCGACTTAACTGTCCAGGATGAACAAGGTGCTGTTCGATACGAATGTCTTGTGCAGCCGACTTTCGTCGATTCAAACCTCCTCCAGCTTGCGACAATCTGGCCAGCCAATCATCCTATCCTCCGGCAAATGCGCGAGGGTTGGCAAGTTCGAGTTGCACGCAGCAAGTCTAACGAATATGTGCGATTTGAAGCGCTTTATGTCGGGTATGTCTAAAGTGCAGCCTTTGGAGCAAAACGCCTTTTTTCCCCCTTTTCGAATATGTTGAACGTTCCCAACAGTGTTTCAGCAGGTTTAAGTGTTCGACCTTCTTGAGAGATGAGACAAAAGCCTCGAATGAACAGGCTGAAATGCAATTGGCTTCTTGTCGACCGACTCACATTGATCGAACAAGATGAAAAACCGCACCTTTGGCGCTGTGCTGTCGTATCAGTGTGTAAAGTCAGGAATGAGAGCTCGAGGCAGAGAAGACCAACTTTAACTTTATTGGAGCAGTGCGAGCGCAGGGCACTGCCTGGGCTGTACTGTACCGATGAGGTTTGAAGAAAGCTCGTTGGATTAAATACAAAGCGAACAAAACATGTCACGACCCTTATGTCAACGTAAGCGAGGTGTACACATCGGCGGTGAGACAGGACGATGTTGCAGTTCCGATGACTTTGGTAAACGCCACATCCCATGCCGCAAGCACAAGATGAGGGTTGGCGAGAGGAACTGCAGCAACCAGGCGCTCCCAAAAGTCGGCGCGGACGACGCAGGCATCTTTGATAATGAGCTGCATTATGCTGGTCGGTGCAGCGTCTTCGCTTGTGGTGTCTGCGAGGAAGAGTTGTAGAGAGCGAACCGGAGCAGTCGCGTCCAGACCCGGCAAGAGGGCGACCCGCACAAGACGCGCTTGAACATGGACGCGCTGTGCCGGAAGAGACGACAAGAGGAGAGCTGAGAGTGACATTGGTTGGTCACGACCAGAAGAATGCCGCGACACGAATGGGGTTTGGAGATGCAAGCTTGGCTGGGGCACCACGGCGTCCTCCACATTCGAAGCCGACGAGCCAAACACTAGTGTGTAAAACACAGTCTGCTGTAAAGGATTGGCGGTGTTGTCAAAGTTGCTTTTGCGCAATGCAGTGAGCATGGAGTGCAGCGCTGGGTCGGTGGCAACCATCTTTTTGTTCTTGATGCGCAACGAGTGAAAGGCAAATGCAGCGTCCTCCGTAATGGTGCTCAGTACGCTGGTGCTGGCTGAGACTGGAAACTCGACTTCACAGACACCTCCACCCTCCAATTGAAGCAGACAGCAGGTCAGCGTACCAGCGGCGGTACGAACAACGAGAGACTGCTGCCACCGCTGATACTTGCGCCGCACCCAGCCACGGATGTTGACGACGGCCAGTAGCGGGTTGATTTCAGCCAGCGGCGTGTACACTGTCAAGGGAGCGGCAGGAGGTGCCGACAGCACGTCGTCGCCCTGATCAGCAGCAGCATCAGCAGTGCTGGTGGACAAGTCTGGGAACAATCGCATGGGCTTGAGTTTGGTCAGCGGACGCGAGGCACCAGGGCTGGCTGCAGATGCTGATGCAAGAGCCGATGGCGGCGTTGTGGCCTTGTTATTACTGTTAGGGCCTTGCGACAACATGCCTCCCTTGGGTGTGGACACGACTGCTCGCGAATCCGCTCCAAACATCGCTGTGGATGACCCGAGGAGCGGAAGAAGAGGGCCACGAATGGCATTTCGTACCCACTTGCTTGGACTATGCGGCGATGTGGGGTGGATTGGAGGAGCGTCCGCTGGGCTACTGGCCAAGAGCTTGCAAAATAGCGGTCCGATGATGAGGGGAATGCCAGTTCCTTGTGTGACAATTTCACGCCTGTTTAGAGTGTGAGTTAGTGAGTGTGTGTGTGTGTGGGGGGGGGGGAAAGGGAGGAAAGACAAAAGAAAACAGAGAGTCAGACGAAAGGTCAAAAGTGCCCCAAACAAAAAACGATACAAAAAAATAATTCACACTTGCCATGGCGGATGCAGCTCAAGCTTGCTGCCGAGGGTCAAGGACAACCGTCGACACGTCACCAAGTCCATCAAAATGTCCACCACCGCAAAAGACTGCTGCGAGAGCTGCTGAGAGGGCTGAGAAGGAGCAGCAGTCGAGAGCTTGTTGGCCAGATTCACGGTAAACACGCGCGAACGCGTCGTGCCAGAGACGACCTTGCATCGCACAAAGTAGCAGTGGCATTGAACAAAGTCTTGCAGCAGCTCGACGACAAGCAAATCTTCGAGCGGCACGCTCGGAACGGCGGCCTGCATGGCAGAGGTGAATGACGGTCCCAAAGCAGACGCTGTCGCGCTGGCCATGCGCCGGTTGTTGTACTGCCAGAAGGAAAGCTCGGACCGTTCGGCAAGAGCCAGTTTTTCGAGACGCTCGGCCAACCCCGCTGGCACAAGCTGGACGCGCTTACGGCGGTGCGAGCTGCTGGGTGACATGTCCGAAGCGTCCACGCCGCTCGCGCCATGGTAGTCCTTGCGAGGCGTTCGAAAGCTGCTGCTGCTGCTGCTGCTCGCTGGGTCGGTCAGCTTGAACCAGGCCGCACCGGCAGAGAGGGTGGTGGCACCGTCACCGCTTTCGTTTGGAGCGCGTGGAGGCGGGGTGGACGGGAAATCGGCATGCTCCCCTGCATCTGTTTGGTCATTGTCATCAAACTCGAGCGCATCACTGTCATAGTCGACGCCAGGCGGAAGAGCCGTGCGAGCGGAAGACAATCCCGCAATCGCCGCGCTGTTGTTTGCCGAGTGGTGGGACAGATCAAAGAAGCGCATGGCCGCAGGCGTCGTCGTTGCCATGTCCACTGCGAGCTGTAGCGTCGAGGGCGGCGGTTGTTGGGTGTGTGGGGTGGCGGGCATCAACGGCACGCCTGAATCCAAAGCGTGATGCTGGTCGTCGTGCTCGAGCGCGCCAATGTCAGAGAGTGCGTCGTCGTTGGCCAGATCCAGTGCTTTCTTGGCGGAGGCGCCACCAAAGTTGAGATTTTGGGACAGGGCAAAGGAGAACTTGGAAAACGGCGTGGTTGGCTTCACTGGCTGACTCTTTAAAATAAACGGGGTGTTGGCCTGAGCAACGGTGAGCGGTGCTGGAGAGCACTGCTGCGGTTGCGAATCTGCTGTGGACGGAAAAGGCTGCTGCTGAGATGGCTGAGACGAGAACTGCGCCTGAGAAGCAGAGAAGGCCGCGCCGGGAGTGAAAATGTCAGAGGATTGCGTTGGGAGGGCACCCAGCAGCAGTGCCGAGTCGTCGCAGGCATCTTCCGGACTCGAATCATTAGAAAAGTCGTCCAGCATGTCGTCGACTTGGAGCTGTGAAGCAGGAGGCAAAAACACCCAAGCAAGCCAACGAGAAGAACAAAAAACAAACCAAAAACAAAAACAAAACAAAACAACAGCAAAAAGTGACGAGTCAGTTCCCCGACCTCAGGCGTTTTGTTCAAAGCAATCGGCGTCCCAGTCCTACCATCCCTGGCATTCGCTCGCGTATGATCGGGACTGCAGCGGTGATTGACAGCGGTCAGGAACGTCCGAGTCACTTCCCAACACCAATTATCAATCTCCGATGCAAGCTCACTTACATGAGCCTGGCTGCGTCGGCAGCCGACTGAACGGACTAAAGCTTCCAGACGCCTGGTAGCTCGATGGCAGCTCGGCTCGTGGCGTTGGCGTTCCGTGCATTGTGCGAAGTCGGAACTGGCTTCGCGGGTCAAACTGCGAGCTTGGTGCGTCGTTTGGCGGCGTGCCTCGGTGCAAATCAAATCGCTGACCTGCATGCTGCATTTCAGAGCAAGTGGTGCGGGACGACTGTCTTGGCTGGTCTGACTGGGATTTGGCGGGAAACAGCGCCAAAGTTGCAGCAGTTTGTTCCGCTTGGTGGTCTCCGTCATCATCATCATCAGCATCATCATCTTTGTCCTGGCGCTCGTCCTCGCCATCGTCATCATCGTGACGTCGTCGTGTGTGTTCTTGCTTGACTCGCACGGGCGGCTGGCGATGGGACGACGTGCTTGCAGACCGCCGCCGCGGGCTTGGCGTTTGCATGCGAGCAGCGTCGTCCTGTTCCGTTCGCGACGCCCGCAGCGCCTCCCGCTGCGCCTGTGCGGCACCAAGCCAATAGTAGCAAACACACAAAAAACGCACAAACAGTACAAAACAGTACAGCCAGAGTGAGTACGTGCGCGCGTGTGTGTGTGTGTGTGCGAAAAACGAAATGGCAAAACTGTGGCGGGATTTGGTTTTTTACTCGAAACGCATCGTATGAAACGGGCTGCCACTCGCTCATTGTGGATTGTGATGTGGCGAGAAAACCCAGAATTTGAAGTAGAAAAAGACTGAGACAAAGAAGCGCGGCAATGAACGTCAAACGCTTCATCGCTTTGACCACACAAACCATCTTATCTTACATGGACGACCGCTTGTTGCTGATGGCTGGATTTTGTTTTTCGAAAGTTCGACCCAACTAACTGTTCATTGCACCACAACGCTTCGTGCCTCTCATAGAACAATCATGCTACATAGTACATGTATTTCTTGACATTGCATGCAAGGTTTTTTAAAAAAACCACAACCATAATTCTCATCAAAAAGGAAGAGGCAGCGATACGCAGGCACTAAAACAAAAAGCGTCGTGCTGCTGTTAAAGCAACGCACCAATGTCACGAACCGGCTGATTGGCAGCCAAGTTGGTAAAGTAAGCGGCGAGACCTGCAAATCGGGGACGGGCCTGCGGGTTTTCTTCCCAGCACGATTGCACCATCGCATAGAGGTGGGGTGAGCAGTTTTCAGGTCGGACCAGACGCTTTCCATCGTCCAGATACGCAAGGACTTCGCGACCATTCATCGCCCCGTACGGCACAGCTCCGTACGAGAATGCTTCCCCTGCGTTTGCGTTTGCGTACGGATGGAAAACACGGTGGTGAATGCATGGAGGCTTCCAACCAATCGGTCGCAGACAACCACGGGCATGCAGTTTTGACTTACAAGCCAGCACACCATAAGACCAGACGTCGCTTTGATGCGTAAACTTGCGATAGTTGAGACACTCGGGAGCCATCCACTGCAGCCAAAAAACAACCAAAAAAACCAAAACAAAACAAAAAAAAAAAAAAAACAAAAAACAAAACAAAAAACAAAACAAAAAAAAAAAAAACCCCCCACAACAACAACAAATGAAGGTATCAAAACACGCCATGCAGTGAGTAGTATGTGACAACAAACATCGTCCAGGCGGCCATCCACGTTACCTTCACTGGCAAACGTCCTTTGTGCTCCATGCGGTAGTAGTCCGTCTCCTGAGCCAACGCGCGGCTCAAGCCGAAATCGGAAATCTTGACGGTCAAGCCGTGTCCCACGAGACAGTTACGAGCCGCAATGTCGCGATGCACAAAGCGAATCGACTCAAGGTAGCCCAAACCCGATGCAACCTGCGCAAGGGTGTGGGCAAACTCGTTTTCGGTCCAGGCAATGTTCCTCTTCTTTGACTTTTTCAGCACGTCGCGCAGGTCGCCGTACGGCAGCAATTCAAGGACACAGAGATGCGGCTCAGCTTCCAGCAATGTGGCAATCGCTCGAACCACATTCGGATGGTTGAACTGCGAAACCATGCGTGCCTCCTCGATAAACTCGTTGTGAGACTGCGGAGAGGCATCCGCCTGGATGGTCTTCACGGCTACTTCCAGGTCAGACTGCATGGGGTCGTGAAGCAGGTACTGTGCGTCGGTTGGGACCAATGCGCGCGGCAAGAGTCCCCGAAGCACAACGCCAAATGCGCCAGAACCTAGTTTCTCGCCCAGAACAAGTCCGTTGCGTAAAGTTTGAGTGACCTTGGCCGCCGACATGTAAATTCGAGAGCCGGCATACTCGTACGGGTGGCTATCACCTTGTTGGGGCGAAGCAGCATTGTCATAGGTGGATGACCTCTGCGGCGGCGCAGAAACATAGGCGTAAGCGCTGTCTGTTCCGCGCGATGAACTGAAGTTGGCAGAAGCATACTCTGGTTGAGGTGCTGCTCCCACCGCAGAATACAGCGGGTCTGTAGTCGAATTGGCGTAAATGTCGCTGGACGGGGTTCCGAGGGAGGTGGACCGCATCGGAAAGGTGTCGGTTTTGCCGGTGCTGATCGCGTGGGCTCGGTTGCGGCGTCGACGATAGAGCACAACCGCAACAATCAGTGCCACAACGACAAGCACGCCAACGATTGCACCAATGACGCCTGTCGCGGACGAGGCCGAAGCATCCGGAGAGCGGTTGTTGGCAGCATCAGAAGCGGCAGAAGCAGAAGACGCCGAAGCGGCCGAAGCCCGAATGGGTGCCAAAGACGAGGAAACGATAGAAGCCGAGGCAGCGGATGCAGAAGATGCGGTCGCTCGAATTGGTGCTAAAGACTTGGAAACGACAGAAGCAGAGACAGCCGATGCAGAAGCTGCTGACGAGCGGAGGGACGCTAGAGACGTAGAAACGACAGACGCCAGAGTGGCAGCCGAGGTCGAGGCCGCAGATGCATAGCCCGCGGCCAAAGACGAAGCCGACGAGAGCGGAATGCAGCTTCCATTCATGGGGGTGAAGCCAGTGGAGCAGACAGTGCAGAGTGGCGTGCTCGAGCAGTAGAGACAGTTGTCACTGCAACACGAATCGTTCCCCGCCGCAAAGCAAGTCGCGCAGATCGAATGGCAAACTGTTCGAGATTACGAAGCAAAAAGGTGGCGGCGATGACAATGCTTGCAGTGAATAAACCAATTCAGCGCTCCGAACTTTTGAAAAACCAGATCGCGCCGAACACGAGTCTTACCAGTGGGGTTGTTGACATTGCCAAAGGTGCTCGGAGGAGCGTTGGTGCTTCCAAACGCAGTAAAGTTGTTTTGACCTAGGTAGACAGAGCTCAGCATCGTTTGCCCCTGGAAGAGGCCAGGTGGCAGTGTCGTCAAACCATTGTTGGAAAGTCGCCTGCTCGTGACCCCAAGGCGTGACCCCAAGGCGCAATCCCAAGGTGGGCGATCGGTGAGAAATGCGGAAAAGTTTCAACCAAGTTTGGATTGCATTCTGCTTACAAGGTGGATAGCTCCACTCCGTTAAATGCACCGGGTTCGATCCTTGTGAGTGTTGGCGTGGCAGTAAACGTCCTGAAAAGCAAGCAGATCAGTCATTTTGTGCTTTCGTTTGGCATGGGATCCAAGACAGCTCAAGTTCCGAGCGTCAAATCTTTACAGAGTCATATTCGAGAGCCCAGAAAAGGCATTGGCAGGGATGGTTGTCAAAGCAGATGCCTCCAATTTGCTGCACGCACAGAATCGTCGGTGAGTAGGATTGCAGAATCGATAAAATGATGAGCATGCAACGAAGACAGCCCGCTACGGTTGCGCACAAACTGATGGAGTTGGGTGCTCCTTGAAACAGATTCGCCGGAAGGGACTTGACTGAACTGGTGCGGATTGACCTGGAGATTGGGGAGAGGTTTAGGAGGCGCAACATAGGAACAGGAATGTTTGAGGTGAGCCATCGATGCCTCGATCATTGCGAAACAGTGAACGGAAAAAACTCTGGTTACACAACAACGTTCGGCGGCAGCCCACCGAACATGCCAGCCGTCAAGCTTGTGATCCGAGTTCGATCAAGATACCTGTCGCCAAACATTAAGTGCACAACCAGTACATAGGTTCAACTGTACGCCAATTCTTACAAGAAGGTCAGGGATGGGAGTCCATGAAATGCGTTTGCGACAACCGAGGTGAGTTTGGTGTCCGAGAGGTCGCTATTCCAAGGCCAACACAGAACGGCACAACAGTTTGTGCCTTCGATTCAATTTTGGCTCAGTCTTTCAAAAGCGCAGTTCGTCTTACAGCACACTCAACGATGACATGCCGTTGAACTGCGATGCGACCAACTCTTTCAGCTCACTCCCAGTGGCATACTCTTCGTAGCTCCCCAAATGCCTGTCGAACGCAGCGTGAGTAACGGCCGAATGAACGCAAGTCTCAACAACAACAACAACAACAACGCGGACGGACAATGTGGTCACTGCAGACAATCCAGAGAACAGACCAGCAGCGAATTTCGTGACACGAATGCCCGCCAAGTTTCTGAGTGATACGATTGAAATGAGCGAGCTGAGACAACAGCGGGATTGCGATTCTCAACTGGTCGGACGTACAAAGTGTGGAGTGCGTCCAGATTTGCTCCAAAGGCACTCATTCCAATGGTGGTGATGGGGCAGTTCATCAAGGATCTAAAACCAAAACCGGATTGAGGTCGACCGTTTTGCAACAACTTACAACAACAAAACGCAAGGCAAAACATTGTCGGATTCGTTACATGGAAGTCAATCGGGTGAGCGAACTAAATGCGCTGTTCGGGATCGATGTAATGGCGGTGTTGGTCAGATCTCTGCATGATTTGTGTGGGCGATCCCAGATAAAGGTGAGTCACCCACTGCAGGCTCACACAGGCTACAACTGCTGCAAATTTGTCAAAGTGCCACTGACATGAGTTCGACGGTGGCAGGAATTCCCGTGGGGATTGAGGTCGTGGTGGCTGCCGGACAGCCGCTCACACTTTCGCTCGTGCACGTGGAACAAGCAGAGCAGGCGATGGCATTCGCGCCAAGTGGATGAGCAGCCAAAACCATGGCGCTGATGGCGAGCACAATGGCGAGCATGGGAATGCGAATTCGCATGCTAAACATGCCCCGAAACACATCAAGGTGAGTACTCGTTGGACAATATCAAAATCAAATCACACCCAGTCCTTCATATAGTGTTGACAGGCATGTTTGTTGTTGTTGATGTTGGACGCGTTTGTTGTTTCAAACTTGCCCGTTGTTGGCTTATTTTGATTTGTATTTTTTTTTGTTTGTTTTTTTGTTTATGGAGACTGCATCGTGTTTTGAGAAGCACTGAAGACTCTCGTTTCACCCTCGCGCTCATGCTCGCGCTCGCCCTTGCGTCTCGAATTCATGTAGGATGACATGTTGCTTATGGCCGAGTCGGTGTCAGTCGTGTAGTCGTGTGGGGGAGTGAGAGCGAGTGGCAACAAGGAACAACCTGCTCCGCTCCCTTGAGAGCAGCGCACAAACCCGATGTGGCCAATTCTATCGCTCACCGCGACAACAAATCCATGAATGCCTAGAGTTTGCGCATGGTTGGACGGAGAGCGAAAGAGAGAGAGAGAGAGAGAGAGAGAGAGAGAGAGAGAGAGAGAGAGAGAGAGAGAGAGAGAGAGAGAGAGAGAGAGAGAGTGAGAGAGAAGAAAGAGAGAGAGAGACAGAGAGAGAAAGATGCGGAGAGATGGATCAGAAACACATAAAATCAAAGAGAGACGAACGGAGCACTCTCAGGGAACAGCGCGGGTCAACAGGGAGCGAGCGTAGAAGCGAGCGATAAAGCAGACTACCTAGACGATGGCCGAGGCACTGCCGTGGATACAGCAGACGGAAGGCAGCACACAATGGCCATTCAAACAGAAAGAATACAAACAGGATCAACGGCGGCAAAACAAAACAATGCTCTTAAATTCAATTCAAAAAAAAAAAAAAAAAAAAAAAAAAGAGTAGCAAAACAAACAGTCAGGAAAACAAAAATAGACTGAGACACACACACTCTAAACACTGTTCGTGTTATGGATTGATGTGCGTCTGTATTTGGAGTGTGTTCACTCGTCGCTTTGTAAAAGTGAAGTCTCTTCTTCCCTATCATTAGTCCCACCATCAACTCATTACTCATGTCTTCGTGGAACGATCTCTGATCACAGCAGTTCGTCGGGCTGGAAAAAATAATTCGAAACCGTATTGTTGTCATCTCTGAACTTCGAGACAACCTCAGAAAAGAATCACGAGCAAAGCAGAACAAAGACTCACGATCAAAGCAGAAGAAAGACCACCGATTAAAGCGAACGAAGACCAAAACATAGCAGAACAAAGACCAACGATCTAGCAGAAAACACAAAACCACACTTCACTGACAAGAACAGCAACTACCGGATCACCATGTTCCTCGCTCACTTGGCCTGGCTGTTCTTGCGGTTCTTGCGGTGGCGGCAATGATCCACCCACGTCAGGATGGCAGTCATGATGAACACCTTCACCGTGGACGAGATCAGGACTGACTGAATGATGGACACACAAGCAGAGATAAACCACATGCGGTAGATGTCGTCGTCGTCAAAGGTTTCACTGAACGCCCAGAAAACAGTCAAAAAGATGCCGGTCGCGCTGAAGACAAAGCACAAGAAATAGGCCACATATTGCCAGGCGTGGGGAATGCGCCACGCGCTCCAACGGTCGGCGAGAGAGCGCTTGCGAGGCTTGGAAACGGGCTTTTCGTCGTAGCCAAAGTTGCCCACCGAGGAGATCGAGGAGAGCTCCATGGCGCTCTCCAGGTTGGCCATCGTTGTGCGCACCTGGGTCGGGTATCGGAACGAGTGGCGGAAGAGCTCAATGATCAAGGTCGAGAGAGGGAAGATGATGAACGTCGAGATGATGCCGTTCACAATGCTGATGGCAAGCGACTCGGTTTCAAAGCTCATCTGGTTGTAAATGAGCGTGTTGAGGCCCATGCACATCAGCAAGGTCGTTGTGCCAACAGTGGCACGCGCCACATGCGAAAAGTTTCGATCCAGATGCCTCTTGACAAAGATGGAGAGATAGATGTGGCGATTCTTCATGTTGAGCACCAGTCGCTCTTTGAAAGGCATGATTGGCGTCTTGTCATCCTTGCCACTGGAAGAAATGTTCAAAATCTCGGCCACAGCATCGTCTTGCGCAAATTCCTTGTCGAGCACGCTGCCGAGCTTGGACGACGCGTCCAACAGATCGCGCTTGACACGACGGTCATTCCGAATGGCAAAAGGCAGCAGAATGAACAGGTAGACAAAGACAATTGCGGCCAAGAAGACTACCAGCCACGGGCGCTCGGCAATACGCTCGCTCAGGTGCCGAGTAACATCGTCAAAGTCGATCGGATTGATTTCGAAAATGGCAAACGCAGTCAAATGCGTGCAATTGCACAGAAGGGAATCGGTACCGTTCGAGACAACCGAGCAGCCCTTGTGCGAAAACTTGCCCGTGGTTTCGTTGCGGAACATGCACACAAGCGTATTGTTGGGATTGACCAGAGGACGGAGCACGGGGATTCCAATCAGAATCGGATTGTTCGGATCCAGATTGCCCACAGAAATCTCGTTGCCATCGGCGTCAGTGAGGCGCAGCGAAAAGGTGTCTGAGGCTTGCTCGTCGGTCGCATTGTCGTAAGCGAACGGGTTGTTCAAGTGGTGGACGTACTCGACACCAACCACAGGGGCTGAGCCTGCAGCGTACGAAGGCACGGTAAAGTTGGCGCCGGCAGTTCGAGAAATGGGCGATGCGCCAAGGTTGTTTGAGTCGCGGTTTTCGTTGCGAATGACGATATCGTGGGTCTCGATCACATCCACATCGCCAGGGGCACGATTGGCACGGGCAGCCGAGCCAAGACGTTGCAGCACATCGAACGCCAGCGCCGAGAATTCGCGCGACGCAGGGGAATTGTTGCCCGTTTGCAGCAACGGAATGGCGCGCAACAGCGAGCCGAGCGTCGCAGCCAAGTTGACTTTTGCGGCCTCCTCGATACCAACCGTGCGCAACAGACCCGCAACAATACGAAGGGCTCCGAGAGCGGTGCCCAGACCCTCTGTAGTGAGCTCGTTCGGGAAGCGCGTCAGCTCAAAGAACAAACCGAGAGTGTCTGTCAAATCTTGCGGCGTGACGGCATCCGCAGTCTCCGCTTGGGTGGCATCGACGATAGCCACAGCACCAGTGATCAGCTGCGAGCGAATCTCTCGGCGACTGCTCGTGTCCGCGCCAGTACCAGCATCGGCAATGGCGTTGACAAGCGTCGATGCAAGGGCAATACCCGAGCGC